CCCTGTAGTGAACAAATTAAGTCCTTTACATCTCCCAATACAAATTTTACTTTTGCTTATTTCAATGCTCAAAGTTTATGCAAAAACATTCCTAATATTCTATACTATCTAGGTTCAAATCTTCCAACCTTCATAGCCTTATGTGAGACATGGCTAAAGCCAAGTATACCCTTTGAGCAGAAGCAGAGATATTCAGGGATATACATTTATAAGAAATGAGAGATTACATAAAAGGTGGAGTTGGCATTTACATAAAATCTAGCCTTTCCTATGAAATAGTTCTTCTGTCCCATCCAGATAGTGTTATTGAATTTTGTGGAAATTGTAAATAAGTAATTTTATTGGATCCATCTGTAGACATCCCCCTCCATTCTCTGATATTAGTGAATTTGAGAATTTTAACTGGCTGTGGCTGAAAGGTTGACGCCAAAAAAATCTTATCTGCATTCAATCTTTCTATCCTGCCTTCCTGTCCGACACAGATGCTTCCTAATTCCCAGTTCTTAATCGATCTGTGTGTCACAGATAATCCTTCATGTATTAACAATTTCCAATGCTTTGATACCCCATTCATTTCTGCTCATAAGATGCTCTTTGTAACAGTTTGTATTCCTTCCTTTAATTTTACTCCTCGGTACATCGAATGTCGCAAATTACACTCTATTTCATCTCATATGTCATTGAATCCAACTCCAAATTAAATTGCGATCCCATTTCAATGGAACAAAAGTTAATGAAATGTTAACCATCCTAAATAATAATTCTCTTTTGGTCTTGAACTTAGGAGCTCCATTAATGAAGTTTAAAATTTCTCACCCTGCTACGCCTTGGTTTTCTCACACAATTAAACTTGTTTTTAAATCTCGTGATTCAGCCTACAACAAATGGAAATTCACCAGGGACCCATTGTACCTTTCTAGGTTTAAAATTGTAAGGAATAAAGCGAGAAATCTAGTCTGCAAATCACTGAAAATGACTTTTCAAAAACTGCTCAATCATAATTTATCGCCTAGTCACTTTGGAAAAATTAATTAACTTCATTTTTTGCTTCCATGTCCTCTTCCCTCCAAACTAAAACACCATTTTCTGCTCATCTAGAGTAGTAACACTGTAAATTGTCCTTTCATTTTTGAAATATTACTCATGAAAATGTTTTGGAAGCCATCCTTTCAATTAAATCTAATGCTACAGGTTCTGGTCTTATTCCTAATAAACTCATAATTTTTTCCCTTCCTTTTACTTTAAAATACATAACCCACATTTTGAACTTCTCTCTCACCTCATCCTGTTTTCCTTCAGCCTGGAAGGAAACCCTAATAGTTGCATTACCCAAGAAACCTAAACCCACCCTTGCTAGTGACTATGGCCCCATTAGTATTCTTCCATCACTATCCAAAGCATTTTATTTAAATAAATATCTTCATTTACTGACTCCCATGCCCATATATCCCATTTTCAATCTGGCTTTCGAAAAGGTCATAGTTGTGAGAGCTCTTCTCAAAATTTCAGATGATATTGGCCTAGGCATTGAAGATAATAAGCGTGCTATTATTGTTCTACTAGATTTTTCCAATGCATTTGGTACTGTAAATCATAATTTGCTTATTTGGAAACTGACACATCTTTTTGGTCTTCTACTGCTAATAATCTCTTATATCTGTCTGGAACTCATGATAGTTAAGGCTTCAAATTCTATCTACTCTTCTCTCTCATTTTTAGTGGTGTACTCCAACGCTCTATTCTTGGGCCTTTACTCTTTTCCATGTTTTGAAATGATCTTCCATTAGTTCTTAATTTCTCCCAATTTCATCTTTATGCTGATGACACTCAGCTTTACATTCAATGTCCTTCAAGCAACATCTGTGAAGCTACCTCCGCTCAACCCTAATTTTTATTCTCCCAACCAATGGTCAAGAAATAACGGCATTCTTTTAAACCCTAACAAATCCCAGTTCTTGTTAATTTCCAATAAACCCATTAGTATAGATTGCCTATCCCCTCCTCATATCAACAGCTCTTCTATTAATTTTTGCTCCACAGTTAAAAATCTTGATGTTATTTTTAACTCCAAGCTTACCATATGGCATGACCATATGAGCTATATTATTAAGAAGATCTACTCAAGCCTCCATTCTCTTTGACGCCTTAGCTTTTCACTCCACAGAAAACTAGATTTCTCCTTATTAAATCCCTAATAATTCCTTTATTCTTTTACCATAGCGCTATTTTTTCACTTTCCTCAGACTCTCAATCTGCTCATTGCCTTCAAATTGCTTATCATTTGATTAGGAATCATCAATTTATAAAATATTATACTGTTCTGATCAAAACCAATGGATCATATTTCATCCTATATTAATGTATCCAGCGTTGATCATTATTAACATTGTTAACACTTATAAACTTAGAGTTTTAATACATACATTTAAAATTAAATTTAAAAAATGTCCTCAATGTCTTATCAACTATTTTCCCTCATTCATTATCTAAACGCACCAATCATATCCAAAGCCTTCAACACTCCTCTAAAGCTTTAGCCTTATCCTTCAGAATTCAGGGTCAAGACTATGGATTTTACTTCCCCAGGAAGTATGTTCTGCTTCCTCGCTGGCTTGTTTCAAGTCCATGGCATCAGAGTTTTTAAAAACAACATGAATCATCTCCTTTTCTTCCCTCTTCCTTTTCTTTTCCCGTTTCCTTTCTTCTCTCTTTCTGCTTTTCTTTCATACTGTGATGTCATCATTCAATGATAAATAATTAATAATAATTAATTAAAGAATATATTATTGTCATTATTGTTTTGTATATTTTATTATTATTATTGCTGTTATTATTTTACTATGTTTATAAAACTTAATTTATTTATAAAATAAGTGCATGTAAGTGGGCTTAAAGCCCTATTTGTACCTTTAAATTAAATAAAACATAATAAATAAATATGTTTTCCCCCAGCACCTGTATTGTCTGTAAAGTGTGGCCACAAATGTTTAATTACTATAGGAAGTCTCTTCTTCCAAATAAATATTTATTGAAACTTCATTTGCCAGGATGCAGGCAGCCTGGTACGGGTAGTCCAGTCTTATTCGCAATAGAAAATAGCCCTGATCTGCATGGATTTTTCTTTTTCTTTTAGAATAGATTTGTACCTTTCAAATTTTAGCACAACGATAAAGCTCTGCTTAACATTAATAAACTTCACTAAAAATAAGCTATATTAAAAAATTAAGAACTATTCAATGAGAGGAAGTATAACGGGAAAAGAAGAAGACGTCAAATCGGAAATGGAACAATAAATACAAATTACTGAGGTTTGAGATTAGGTGGAACATTGAATAGGTTAGGTTAAATAGCGTTACTGTTAGGAATGGCTAGAGGAGAGTTAGGTGTCTAGATAGCGTTTCTGTTAGAAATGGTTAGAGTTGGGTTACATTAGGTAGTGTTACTGTTAGGAATAGTTAGGATTAGGTATATGTAGTTTTATTAGGTAGTGTTACTGTTAGGAATGATTGGGATTAAAGGTAGGTAGAGTTTGGTTCGGTAGTGTTACTGTTAGGAATGTGTAAATTAGAGTTAGGTTAGGTAGTATTACTGTTAGAAATGGTTAGGTTATGTTAGGGTTAGAGATAGCATTATTGTTAAGAATGGTTAGGTTATGTAGCGTTACAGTTAAGAATGATTGAGATTAGAGGTAGATAGAGTTTGGTTAGGTAGCATTACTGTTAGGGACAACAATAAAAATTATGGCTCCACTATTAATGAATTTATGATTTTAGTAGAGTGAACAAGATCTGCCATCCATTGACATTACAATTATAACCTCCATCTGTTGTGTTAGGTTTCGGTTGAGTTAATATTAGGGTTAGGAACTGGTTAAGGCTTGGCCAGGCAGAGCACGATCTGTCTCTGCAGTCAGTGACTCTCCTGCTTGATGTATGATAAGTATGTAAGTATTGGATCATTCCTGTCACATAGGAGGCAATATGCCATAGCAATCCATTCTAGACATAGATGAAGTTGTACAAAATGACAAAATTGTTGTGCGGTTGAGCGATAATTATAGTAGAGGGAACTGAAAAATTCATAGAAAAGTTCGTGAATGTGTATTTTTCTATGACACAAACTAGAAAGACTATAAAAATGTTTTATGTGTAAATGTGAGTTTATTTCATGAACCCAGCTTTTCTTTCTTTTCCTGGTATATACAGCAAGAAGAAGAAGCAGTTGCTCCTCATCCGGGTAGTAGAAAGTAGAAAGTAGAAATTACAGTACACAATACAGACAAATTGGATTATTAAAAATTATTAATTATTTATTACCTTTAGAAAATTTTATCTACCTATGCTAGAGTACACCACCTAGTGGCTTGGACCAGCTTCTGTTGCTACTGTGTGGCATACAATATCGATGACTGCCATGACTGATCTTCAGACCACTGTCCATTTCAACAGATCACGTTCTGTGTGGCCAAGCCTTTAGTTTAAGGTTAGGGGCTGGTTGTTACGTTAGGTAGTGTTACTGTTTGGGACAGTAATAAAAATTATGGCTCCAGCCATAATGAATTTATTACTTTAGCTTAATAGAGTGGATGAGATTTACCATCTACACTACAATTGTAACCTTCACAACAGGTTTAGGATAAGGGTCAGGTACGAGTTTGGTTATGTTAGGTAAGGCTAAAGTTAGGGTTGAGTAGAGTTAGGCTAGGATTGGTAGCATTACTCTTAGGGAAGGGTTAGGTTACATATCCATGATTCAACTTTTTTACGTTAGGCAGAGAAAATATGTGAGTGCAAAGTGCAAGTATGAAATTTTTTAAGCTGTTTATACATAATACTGACCACTTCCGAAAAAGAAATTTGGAGGGTGTGTTAAAATTGCAGATCATTGTAACTGTCAGTGACACATTTAATTCTCTATAAAGCTGTAAATTCATAGAAAGAATAATATGTATGTTATTGTTGTTGCAAGGCTTTAAAAATGGCATTTTTTTTATGTTTCAGGAGAGTTGGACTTTGCTAAAATGTCTTGCAATTGTAGTCCAGGACCGACAAGGGCTGATATAAATAGATGGGCTAGAAATCCAAAATCAGTTCTGGAGTGCGAAACGGGTTTTGATCAGTTCCAAGAGTTTTTACTCAGTAGGCAGTTTGATCAGGAACTATCTACTGTTGAGTTTTATAAAAAAGCAGCTGACACTCGTAAAATACTTGTTCAAAAGTAATTACATTTTCTTTTTAATAAGTACTATTTTATTACTATCAAATTTAATAAGTACCAAGTAATAAGTTTATCAGTATTTAATAAGTACTATCAAATTTATTGTTGCAGCAATGATCTCCCAAGAAATACTGTTATACAAAATATCGAGTATTTACTGACATTGGCTGATGATGTAAACTTCGATGGAGCACAGATGAGAGTCCTCTATCGAATGAGAAAATCTCGAAGCAATAGAGAAATTATCAAAATTTTAGATGAAGCTCGTCAAGCCGCTAGTGATCTTCTGACAGACGTACATGAAGCTTTCATCGATTCTCTTGAAACTAAAATGACCAGATCATGCTAAAGTACAGACAATTTTTGTAGAATATACAATTAATATGTCCATAATCTGTCTTGTAAACAATTAAAATTAAATTTATCACAAGTTTGAATTATTCCCTTCGTTTATAATGTGATTCCACAATCCTTTTTACAATCTAAATGTTGAATAATATAAAAATGTTGTAAAAATTCAATTTGTTTGGGTAAAAACAACACTTCAAATTTTAATTTGAAATAAACTATAATAAAATTTCAATATATGCATTTATACAACCAGTGTACAATATTTGTATTATTAACAACGAAAGATATCATAAGCCATTATTACAAACTATTGAACAAAAATCAAGAAAAGTAAGTATAAATATACATGACATAATGTACAATAGATCTCTATACTACAGCCTTTGAGAAGTTGAAATAGCAGAGTCAGCACATTCCAATTGTTTCAGTAGCCTAAATAATGCTGCAGCTTCTCGTATCCGGCTAAACTCAATACAAAAGGCTTGAACTTCAATAAACAATTCCTAAAATGAAAAAACAGAATTTGGAAAAGTTTAAATAAGAACAAATGAAATTGTATTATTCTATGACTGTTATTTTGTCTTTGTGTAAGGTATATGCTATATGTAGTAATGTTTTCATGCCTAAGCTATAAAATGATAAGTTACAAAATAGATTTGTACTTTTTTCCATCCATATTCCATACTACATTACAATTGTAATGAAAATCTCTTGTTAGGATTAGGTTAGCTTAGGTAGGGTTGAGATTATGATTAGAGTTAGGGATGGGATAGGTTAGATTAGGGTTAGGGCTAGGTTAAAATTTGGTGTTAATGCTAGGGTTTAGGTTGTACAAAAAAATCAGTTAAGGCAAAATTTTTGAAAGAAGGAAAACCAACCATTTTCTTTCTTCAAGCTTTCAGGAATGTATACCACATCAGTGCTTTGAAACTATTTCGATTTACAAGATTAACAGATATAAACATCTGCTTATAATAATAAAAACTATGGCTTCATTAATCTACCAACTGTCCATTAAGGTTATTAAGGAGTTATCATTAAAATAACTAACCATAAAAAATTTATATTTTAAACTTATTTCTCTTTTACAGTTAGAATGAAGGTTAGGTTGGCATGGGTAAGGGTTAAACTAGAGTTAGGGATGTGTAAGGTTAAAATTTGGATTAGGGTTAGAGGCTGGTTAGGTTAGCTTAGGTAGAGTTAAGATTTGGAATGTGTTAGGTTAGGATAAGAATTAGGTCAGTTAAATTAGGGTTAGGATTAGGTTTAGATTTTATAACAAAAATCATAGTTGAGGAGAATTTAAAAGAAATAAAACAATTTATATCCTCAAGCTTTTGAGGAAAATATATCCTCGTCAAAACTGAAACTATTTTTAACAATTTATACGTTTAACATATGAGATGTTATATTTGAAAGAAGTGTAAATCCATTTTTTCATGTATCAAGATATTTAAGGGTTTGCATTTGCATAAATTTAAAAATATTAGCAAACATTAATCAATTTGAGTGATATTTTTAACACTTTAAAGTTTATTTTGGAATAGTAATTATTAAAATTATTTTAAAAAATAAAATATTTTTTATTCCAAGTGCACTTATACCACTTTCAAAAATAACATATTATAAGAAATAAAAACAAGAGGAAATTTAAGTCTATATTTGGGGAGTTAAGTCTATATTTGTATCGACATCAGGTTCACTGAAATGGATTTTTTAATTAATTTCACTTATATTAAAAAGGCGATATGAGTAAACAAGCGTTAAATGTAAATTACTTCATTAAGATAACTAAACATAAAAAAAATATATTTTAAACTTATTTCTCCTTTACAGTAAGTATAATGAAGTATTCATGGTAAATAGGTGGTATATAAGGCAGCAAACTCATCATAGCAAATTTCTTTGCAGTAATAATATTTTCAGTGTTTGTATATTTTTCATCATTATTTCTTTTGATTTTCCTAATTTTCAGATCATTATTTTCATAATGTGATCTAAAATTATTAATGTCGTCTTCATCAGTCATTGAATTAGTTAATTCCAAAATTCTAATCGTCTTCTTAGTTTGTAACAATCTAGAATTAATATTGCTCAAACTGCTTTCCTCATCTTATTCATAATATTTTTTCTAATATTCATGGGTCTTATTTCTATAATAATAAATAAAATTAAAAAATAACAACTAATATTTCAGTGAACATTTTTATTACTTTTACTTACCAATATCACTGTTAGACATATTATCGTCTCTTTTATACGTATGTGAACTCATTGCAACAACTGTATGAAATATTATTTATCTTACACTATAATTTTCTTGGTTAATAACAATTATATTTAATTAATACTCCCGCTGCAATCTATTAGTATAAGAGCCGCAAACCAAACAGTAGGACTTGCGAAAGAAAACTGAACAAGATCAGTGCAATTACTTCTTACCATTTCATCAGAATAAATAATACATACCATTATTTTGTTAATAATGTTGTTTTTAGAAAACTAGAACTAGCTAAGTAATATTTTCTAAAGCGCAATACACACTGAAGCCGTAAAAATAAATAATAATTGGAATAAGAAAGTTGTTTTAATAATAATTATTAGGAATGGACTTATTAAAAAAAGTATTTGTGATTACATTTTACAGCCAAAGTTTTTTGTTTACTTTACTTAACAAATCCTACTCCAGCAAACATATGATTACAAATATGGAAAGAAGGTGTCTATATCTTACTTTTTTGAATGGACTTATACCACTTTCAAAAATAACAGCTCAAATATAAACATACATCTACTTACAATAATAAAAATATGACTTCAACAGATCAACCACCCATACATTCTACAGTAAAATTATAACCTCTAACTATTGGGTTAGGTTTAAATTGGGCAGGTTAAAGATTAGGTTAGGGATGGGTTAGGATAAAATTAGGGAAGGGATTAGTATTAAGTTAAAAATGGGATAAGTTATATTAGGTACAGATTAGCATTAGGGTTAGGGATGGGTTAGGATGTTAGATTATATTAGGGTTAGAGTTAGGGACTTAATGTGTTATTGAGAGTAAAACCTGGTAATAATTGTTATTTAACATTATTCTATCACTGAGTGATTTCCCAGTTTTGGTGGATGTTCTATCAAACCATCATAATTAAATATTTTTAATTAAAACTAATGAATTTCTGATCTCATTTAAATTGGTTTACATTAAAGTTGGTGTTATAATTAAGTATAATTATAAAAATACATACAAATAGTTTTAAATAAACAACAAAATGCAAGTGTTCCATTTTTTGTCTGATTATCTAAGAGACAGCTAAACTTCTATTTACAACAATAAAAAATATGGTTTAACGAACTACTCCCTGTCCATTCAAAATTAAAATGTAACCTACACCTGTTGGGTTATGGTAGGTTGGGATAGGTTAAGAATTAGGTTGCATTAAAGTTAGGGTTAAGGACAGGTTGGGTTAAAATGTGGGTTAGGATAAGGGGCTGGTTAGGTTAGTTAGATAGGTTAAATTTAGGATTCAGTTAGATTAGGTTTAGAATTAGGTTAAAATTTGAGTTAGCATTAGGGGCTGGTTAGGTTAGGAACATGTTAGGTTACATATCCATGATTCAACATTTTTCTATGAAGAGGAGAATTTTCAATTTTTTGTTACCTTCGTTTATTAGTTAGGTTATTTCAACTTTGTTTATTACAATGTAGTAGAAGTTCATGTATGCTTAGTTTTTCATAGTCTGTAATTTTTGAATTTTTCAATAGTCAGTCGCATAGATTTTAAAATTTCTGTCATAAATGTTAGTGCAATTCTGTGTCCGCATAGTTTGAAACCTCGGTTAACTGTAAATGTTGAATTGTAGTTTGTTGTTGGGTTAATGTTTAGACATGGTTAGGCAGGGAAATGTATGCTGTTTTTTCAATTGCCGCAGTGTTATATTTTTGTTTTTTCTCATTATATGCACAATTTATTATAAGAATACTTAAGCGAGTACTGTTATCTTAGTGTGAAAAAAAGTGAACAGAGAGTAGACAAACAACAATGTTCAGTTTTGGCCAAACATCATTTGAAGTAATTATAAAAATAAAACAATATATAAAAATGTAAAACTGGTTATTAATTAAGCTTATAAACAAAATATTTTAAGCAAATGAACTCAAGTATTCTTATCGTACAAATAAAAGATATTGCTTCAGTATAAAAGTAAAATAAAAAACCTTTCAAGAAAAACAAACCTGTACGTTAATAATTCTGTTTCGTATTAAAGACTGAAGAAACACGCACACAAGTCGTACCAATCGGTTTTGCATATATCTGTCTTTAATTGTTTCACATGTTGATATGCAATTTGATATATACAAATGGACAAACTCAGTTGGCAAATCAACAGTTGTCGTTAACCTAGAAACATGTACTGCAATTTAAAAACAAAAACCTATTACTAATTTTACTTAACTTACCTATTAACAACTTCCATAGAGTGAAGAGACATTTCCATATTGACCAATACACTAAAATATTCAGTGATTAATGTCGATTGCATAAGTTTGAGAAGCACTTCAATAGCTATTAATGGGTTATTCTCAACAAGATAAGGAAGCTGGAAAAAATATGGTAGATATATATATATTTTTTTTTTCACGTCAATATAGAAAATCAATTTTTAATCACTGACCTTATTTGGTGTTAATCCTATATGGTAAACTAGATTTGGATCCCGGTCAAGTTCAGAAAGAAGGTGCTGCTGTTGTAGTAAATTTAAAGGATCTTTAAATGCTTTACCCATTAACTTTTTCGCCTCTGCACTACTCGTGTTGGGCATGCACATTGTTATATCGTATGCAGTTTGATGGTCACCGATTGTTTCTTCCTCTAACCAAATCATCTAAACAGAAAAAAAAAAAGGTGCCAAAGAAATACATTCATAATAAAAGCATTTACCTCGTGATCCTGGGTAAACAACGGAGGGACGAGACGGATGCTTTCCGGCCGGTAAGTCTGCCTTGCAGCTGTATTATCAGCATCCAACAGTTGCTCAAGTAAAGATTTAACATCTTTCATGTCATATGGATCATGACTGAAAAATTCAAATACAAATATGATTTGCACTTAACAACAAAGCAGACTGAAAAGTAAACATTGAAAACGAAAATCCTTAACCAACAGCCAAAACTGACTGCATTCACTACCATGATAATCCCAATTTAGAACAGTATAAATAAACATTTGGTGAGAAAAATTAACTTAATTTTTTCCTTAAGGATCTTAAATACTGAAAGGTGTTTTTATTTTAGTACTCTTACATTTCAACCCAATCAGGGACGATGCAAGGCACGTGGTTCCTTGTCGTGGGTAAATGGGTCTCATACTTTTCATCTATTTGGTGTTTAAGATGTGAGAAGTCGGCAATGAGAGCACTTTCAGAATTCAAAATGACTGCTGGTGTTTTCCTTACCAACTGAAATTAAATTAACATCTATTATATACAAATTAAAATAATCACAGTAAAAATGAAGTTTTAGTATCAATAAAAAAATTTAAAAAATTTAAAAAGTGTGTGTGTGTGTGTGTGTGTGTGTGTGTGTATATGTGTATATATATATATATATATATATATATATATATACTTCATCAGTTGTGTTAGGTTTAAAGTGGGCTAGGTTAAGAATTAGGATAAATTAGGGTTAGAGTTAGAGCTGGGTTGGACTAAAAATTGGGTTGAGATAAGGGGCTGGTTAGATTAGCTTTAGTAGGGTTAAGATTATGATTAGAGTCAGGTTGTATATCAAAAAATCAGTGTTGAGGTAAATTTAAAAGCAAGAAAAACACCCCATTTACTTCCTCAAGCTTTTAAGGAATATATACTGTTCATCAGGACTTTGAAACTAATTCTAATAATTTAGATGGTTAATAAATATAAACATATAATTACAATAATAAAAACATATGGCTTAATGCCACTCATCCATCTGCAGAAGGGAAAAGTACACAGAGATATATAAACACAAAAGAGAACACTGGGAGGAATACTTCCTTGTTGGTGCTAACAATATATTATATAATATAATACAGACTGACATATTAAAACTTTAATGTTGTCAGTGAACACATGCTGTTAATATTATTAAACACAAATTACGCACATTAAACTTGACTTGAATTAAGCTTTATAATATCAATTGACAAAATTACAAAATTATACAAACAATTACCTCTTTTCCACTTGATGAAATAAGATGCGACAAATAACTTCTTTCGGTGTCACTTAACTTTGGCAAATTATTAGTTGATTTCCTATTTCGATCAGTATTCTGAAACAAAAATGCTTGCTTATGTTTACAATAATCCAACTCAATTTGACATCTCTTACCGACAACATATGGATTATTAGTGATGAAAACGGATTGTTGGTGAATGGTTCTCCACGGTACATTTCATGGAATAAAGTGAGAGCGATTAGTCTTTGACCAGGCGTTGTGAACAATTCATGAGCGAACATTAACAGTAACGTATTTCCAACTGTAAAACAAAATCAGGACTAACTCTTTACTCAATTAAAAAGAGCCTAAAAAAATTACATGAGCTAAAGGTAACATATGTAATCTGTATCTCCCCAGCACCCACATTTAATCACATACACATAGAATAAAAACAAAATTTTTTAAAAATATATAGGGTGAACAGCTGAAAATGTCCCAATATTAGAGCACCGCTTCATTATTCATAATAGATAGAGTCAAATTAATAAGGGGTCGAGTGGTTAGGGTGTCTGACTCGTAGTTGCCACGCTAGTGTTTTCAAATCCTGGCAGAACCAGGTTTTTTTTATCAATTATAGTATGAGTTTATATTTTAAAGTGGTTTGACCCCTCGCCCGTGACATCCGATGGGTGGACATTAAGCCCTCCTGTATGATAGTAATTACTACTTACTCACAGTAGAATTAATAAGGTTCACACTAGTATATAAACTTTAACATTCTTGAAGTTTTTGAAAAAATAAAGAAATAAGCAGCACATTTTCAGCCATTTGCCCCGTACACCTAACTAAAATGTTAAATGTTAAAATCTTACCTTTAAAGCTTGCATTTTTTGGGAACTGCATTGTGATTTGTGATATCGTATGTTCTATAGTATTGTTGTCTAAACAATCTTCGTAAAAGATGCTGAAACAAGATAATTACATTATCTTCCAGATAAACTGCACATTCTTAATACCGTCAAATTGTTCATAAGTAGACCTGCGAGTCTTGTTGCGAAAGGTTGTTCGATGTGCCCTACTTAAAAGAAGGGTGCCATTCTATGGCTCCATATAGAGAGCACATAGGAATGCCACCCAATATGAGAATTGTTTTTGAGCATGGCAGTATCTGGGTCCCTTGTTCCAATTCTTGGAAGAAACAGGGTTGCTTTATTGTATTGTATACAATAGTTTTATGCCCCTAGCATGTGCTGAGAGTGAATGTATTTATAATTGTGAATGTGTAGTGTGAGAGGGCTGATGGCGGAATATTGAGTACCCCACTGAACCTCAATTAAGTTAGTAGTATAATAGATTGATGGTTGGGTGGGCGTGAGAGAGAACGCGACCAAGGTTAAGGACCCTCAGCTGAAGGAAAGGGGAGATGTTGTGCCGGATTGTTCCTCCTCATGAACCAGACATCTTCCCCTGGCCGGGAGCTTCACAGGGCAAAGCGATTAGACTATTAAGTAGCACGCAAAGGCACGCTTGTCTCAGTGTCACTGGAGCCATGAGCACAACGCTAACTGCGACCTTAGAGATGTTGTTAAACCTCCCACTACTATTTTAATCCAAGGAGAAACAGAGCAGCTGCTCACAGGCTCACAAATGGACAACCATTTGCAAGGACAGGCCATGACAATAAACAATGGAAACTGAGGGAGGAGTACACGCAGATGCCATATTAGGCATGCCAATCAATGCCAAAAATAACTTTACCAAAAAGTACAAGGTGATGAAACCAGAACGGGAAGAGTGGGCGAAAGGAACAATTCTAAAGTTAAATTCCTACTGGGACTCATAGTGGTTCAAAGTATGTGAGCTGGAGTCCTTGGGATGAGTCCGAAGACCAAACAGACTTTAAACTTACGCAAATATGCTACAGTTTTTCAGTCTGAAATCATAGAAATCGAACACTGTGCCAGGGAAATAAAAAGGCCAAGAACAATTCTCTGACAGTCAGGCAGTACTTAAAGCCTTAGCCTCATGCGATGTGAAGGCAAAAAGTGTATGGAACTGTATGGAAGCCCTGGCAGAAGTCAGTGACACACCCTGGCATGGGTCCCTAGGTATTCATGGCATAGAAATGAGAAAGTGAACCCAAAAAGGAGCCAATATGAATTCTCTATGCCCTGAACCCTACTGTGGCTTAGCATTGCCTCAAAAAGATACATCCAAAAATGGATCCTTAATGTAATCCAAAACCTGAGGTGTTGTACCATGCATGAGTGAAGAAATTCATAGACGGGCCATCCACAAGAGTTACAAAGAAATTACTAGAAGGTAACCACAACAGGACCAGGTCCTTGGACACCTAACAGGGCACTGATGCCTAAAAAGGCACATGCACTGGATAGAGTACTTAAAAAAGAAATACTCCCAGGAAGAAGCAGGGAATGTGGAACATGTGTATTTCTGTGAAGATCTATGTAAGTGCAGATTCTTGCAACTAGGAGAGGAAAAGCAGCAAGACTCCACATTAAGGAGCTACTGGCAAGGCTATGGAGGTTGATTAACAACCTGAAGCTGGCCAGTGAGTTATAAACATAGAGGGGTGCAATTAGGTCAAGGTGTGGCCGCCTATTTTACCCTTATGCCCTATATAATAGATGACGGCGATGGAGGAATGTCAAGTATGCCACCCTAACTGAGTGAATGGTGTTTAAATAAGAAAGAATGTATTTAAGAGTAAGAGAGTGCAAAAGGGTTTGGGTTTAGGAACTAGTGGGTTGGGGGCTGAAATGACAACAGTTGATAGCCCCTGGAGCACAACCTCGGCTGCTGGAAGACTGAGATCTGACCCTGGACTGCCAACACCCATTCTCGAGGTTAACTGGTAATTTATTGTAAATTACAAAAGCTGGAATTGCCAGAGGGACTGTGAGAAGTGATAGGCTTAACTCTGTACACACGTTTATGTATATACATGCGTGTGCAAATTTGAGCTTAAATAAATCAGTAAATAATAATAATAAAGTAATCCTAAATACAATAAAACTCCAAAAATTGGAAAAGGGGACTCAAATACTAACATACCCAAATTCACACATCAGGTAGCCTACCCACTCTCTACATGGAGCCAAGAAACACTCTTCATTAATTAGGAAACATCAAAAAACTTTTCCCTATAAGTTTTGGCCCATCCTTCAGATTCACCGAGGACCACCCATTGACCATGCTCTTGATCATCACAATAAATCACATACAATTACCACCGGGCTTAGTCCATGAATACAAGGCGAGACCCAGCTTACCTTGGACTAAGTTCAAGAATGGAAATGGTGGCAGGGTATACGATTCAGCTAAAACAGTATCGAGTTGAAGTTGTTCTGAGTGATGGAGTCTTGATTACAAAAGCTATCAGCAATGAAGAAAAGCATAAAAAATACATCAATGCAACCTTTCTTTACTAAATCTCGTAGACAACGAATATTTTTTCCTAGAAGACAGGAAGCTCTTAAAAATAAAAGTAACTAAAATAAAGAAATTACCTCAGCAACTTTTCAATTTCTGCTGTTGTTAAGGACATCTCTGCGACTTTGATGCTTGGATATCAATAACTGATGGAAAATAGAATTAATGGTTTTGTAAACTTGTAAAAACAAGTCGACAAAAGTGAAGAATGTCAATCAAATCAAACACTAGCCCGATTTGTATGTTAATAAACCAAAACCTAAACTAGTGGAATAAAAGATTTAAACAGCAAAAATAAAATGGATTAAATTGAATGCCAGCTTCCCAGAATAAATGAGAAATTTTTAATAAAAACGAAACCATGGAGTAAAAGAGTTTTCGACTTTTTTTGTGAAATATTAACCCTTATTCCTTGGATCATGAATCTATAAACGTATGTAAATTTGTAAACAAATGAAGTTCGAGACTTCGAACTGAGCATTGAAGAATGTGAGACGTTCATGTACGAACGAGTCAAATGAACTAGTCTTTACTATGAGCGACCTCTGCCGACATTCTTCAAACTTCATGCTTCAATCCGCGCATTTCAACCAAATATAACAAAATTGAGTAAACCTCCTAGGTCCTCCTTTTTAATATGCCTATTTTTTTATTATTCCGTTTGATATTAATTTCTTTTATTTATGTTATTTATCTAGCCTATTATAAATAGAAATATCTCATAAAATCTGCCTTTTTAATGTCCGCATAATTATTTGATTATTCCTTTTGATATGGATTTCTGTTGTTTATAAGCTGTTTATTTAGTATAGTATAAACAGAAATATCTTATAAAATATTCATAACAATGGAAAATATCAAAGTCGAGTAAATCTCCCAGTGCTGCCTTTTTAATGTCTGCATATAAAATATTAATACAACAGAAAATAGCAAAATTTCAATAAATTTCCCAGTTCCGCTTTTTTAATGCTTGCATATTTCTTTGGTTATTCCTTTTGATATTCATTTCATTTGTTTATAAACTGTTTATTTAGCCGAGTATAAACAGAATAATCTTCTAAAATACATAACATGTTAGTAACAATGGAAAATAGCAAAATTTTAGTAAATCTCCCAGTAATGCCTTTCTAATGCATGCATATTTCTTTCTTTTATTATTTATTTTGATGGAATTCTTTTGTTTACAACCTGTTTATTTAGCCTAGTATAAACAAAAATATCTCATAAAATTTTAGTAACAATGAAAAATAATAAAAATAGTAAAATTTTAGTAAATCTGCCAGTTCTGCCTGTTTTATGTCTGCATATTTCTTTGATTATTCATTTTGATATTAATTTCTTGTATTTATTTAGCCTAGTATAACTAGAGCACAATAGATCTGCTCAGATCTAGATGCAGAAGGCCTTGTGGCCGCCTCTTTTACCCCTACCCTTAATATAACTAGAAATTTCTCATTAAATCCATAAAATATTAGTAACAATGGTAAATATCAAATTTGAATCTCCAAGTTCTCCCTTTCTAATGCCTGCATATTTCTTTGATTATTCATTTTGATATTGATTTCTTCTGTTCACAAAACTGTTTATTGAGCATGAAACTAATTTTTTCATTGCAACTGAGACCTTTATTAAAAAGAATAATTAATTGAAAAATTAATATGGTCAATTATGACCTCTAAACATATATGGATTAATCTAATTCACTCTCAACACAATCTTTACACATATTATACAACTAACCTAATTGAGGGTCAATGGGGTACTTGATATTCTGCCATCAACCCTTTCACATCACAGAGAGTGTTAATAAATACACACTGTAAATACAAACTAGATATACACAACTATTATTACTATATACAACAGAACAACCCCGTATCCTCCTTGGGCAAATTGAGGCCAATTCTTAACCCATCAACAATACTTTTGATATGCAAAAGCTTCTCTGTCGACCCAGCCCATTGACGCTGCCATCTTCTTTTGACCATGTTTTTTATTGCATTCTTACCGTCAGAGGGCAGGATCGCAGTGGTTAGGTCCGTAGGTTGGGACGTCCCAGCCTTAGCCGCCTTGTTCTGCCTTATCATTACCCTCCAGACCTATGTGTCCAGGTACCCAGACAGCAACCACTGTTTTGCCGAGATGCTCCAGTTTGTGGTATCTCTCCAACAAAAACACTACAAGAAGGTCGACGGAAAACCTCTCACAGACTGTCACCGCAGTAAATGCGCTGAGGGAGTCGGTACAGATTAAATAGGCGAGCAACCATCGTCTCAAATCACCCCAAGCGCATGCCAGTTGGACATAGTTCTGTCGGTTAAAAGCTACTGTGTGGTGGGAAGCAGCCTGCAGAGCTGCAAAAATCTGTGGGTCCTCCTCAGCCTGCAAACGTGGACGCATATGGTTTTCAACGTAGAGAAGGTGAATCCGCTCTTCCAGCCATGTCGTTTATCACTGACTGCCTCACCCCTCTGACCTTCATTAGGTATTTCCCTGAAAGGAAAAATTAGAGGTACGTACAGTGATCTTGTACCTGTTCAATCCCATCGATACTTTGAGTGATATAAAAAAGTACTGGCAGGTAAAAGGAATGGTGATAATAGTCTTGTTCCTACTACGTCTCGTGCTCACATTAACTATTTGTATTTTATATAGTAGCACTAAATGTAAGTGTTACTTAGTTCCTACACATCTGATTGGTTGGATTCACTGCGATCAAGAAAAGTGTAATGCTTATCACTGAGCTCTGAGGGACTCCATTTCCTTGAAAAAAGTCCCTGGAGGGCTCGGACCCAAATCTGACACGAAAACTTTGGTTTTTCAAGGAACTTGGGTAATTTGCCTCTAAATCCGATATCCCTACATTTCCGAAATATCGCATATCTCCACATCGTATCATACACTTTCTTGAGGTCAAAGAATACAGCTAGAGCGTGCTCTCTATTTGGAAACATATTCTGAAATCAGAAAATCCCTTCAGGGAAAAAGCATTTTCAGGTAGTCACCCCTTGTGATTATAATTATAGTCTGGATGATGACCATTGTAACATAGACTGCTACACAGATGGATCACTTATCAAAGGTAGAGGGAGTGGTGCAGGAATCTACATACCAAAATTAGGAATCAGCATCTTCTCCCCTCTTGGCAATAACACNAATACTGTGTTTGTTGGACCACAATCGGTATTACCTCACTCTATGAACACAGCGAAAGAGAGTATCAATAACTGGGGCATAGGGAGTGGAATTTATCCCCTGGGCACAGGCAATGGAAAGAATTTGTTAAGGCGATCAAACCAGCAGAATCGAAATGACTATTCTCTAACTCAAGGAAGGGAATTAGGAGGCTGATAGGTATTCTGACGGGCCACTGCACACTGAGAAGACACCTCTTCGGAATGGGTATCCTACTAGATCCCTTCTGCCGTTTTTGCGAAATAAAAGAAGAAACGGCAAGGCACTACCTCACAGAGTGTGATAGGTATGCTAGGTCTAGATTTGAAATCTTTGAAGGAGAGGACATCACCAAATCACTCCCTGAGATTAAATGGTCCAAAATCTTGGGGTGTGTGAACAGGTCCAAGAGACCAAGTCCCGGACCTTTGAGGGATGGGGTACGAGTCTACCCAGGCATTTAACCCCTCGGGTCTTGGTCGCCCACCCTGCATAATATATATATCATTCTGGGATTCTCTGAAATCATGAAATGAATGATACTGGATGGACCTTGTTGCCTCAAGACACCAGATCAAACGACTGTTTATCATGGACTCCAGAAGTTTACTTAGGCATGTTATCAGCAGATACGGGTCTCTGCCCACGTCAACGGTCGGGATAGAAGCTCGTATCCCATATGCTGTTGAAGAATACCAACAGGCTGTGCTTCGCACCCTGAGGAAGGATTTCATTTGGGATACTGTCGCACCCAGGGACCGATAAGCCTGTGTCTCTTTATCAATAAGTCGGATATTTCTGAGGGTAGGAAACGTCAATGACGCGGAGAAAAGCGACCAATTTTCTTGCTTCAAGACCAACCCTAGGCGGAACACGGTTGACGGTACGTCTGCCCCACGATAAAACTCCTCAGGATCAGGAAGTAGTCACTCAAGTGCGGGTTCCCCAATGAAGTTCACCTTACCATAGTCGCCTGGGGTGGTAAGACAAACAAGAGGTCGATCGCGCTAAATCTTCCGGTATTTTAGATCAATATGTGTAGCGGCGCCGTTGTTCAGGAGGTCATAAGGTCCCCCATCATTCTGCCCCTAGCATCGGTGCGCTATGACCCCCACTAGGTATTGTGCGCATTGAACTCGCCCAACGCCATAATCGGTTGGGGGAGACGTTCGATCAGGGCAGAAACCGCACTGCTGTGCACAATCAGTCTAGCGGTGGGTACATAGAGCACAGTGTAAGACACATCGGCGCCGCCATTTGAACTGTTCTTATTAAGTCTTACTTCGTGCACTTCATTATCTCTTATATTCCTCTGTGTGCCCTAGCATCAGGATCGTGCTGCCTTCCCTTGAGAAGGTTTGATACTGCTCAGCCGAAAGTGCGTCCCCGGACGGATGCAGGATCCATGGAGGAATATCGCCATGGGCGCATGTTCCCTGACCAAGAGCTGCAGAATGGACAAGCTACGTCTCTTGTTTCCGATTGCTCTGCAGTTCCACTTCAGAATCGACTCCATTAATCACTTTTATTTCGGTTCTTTCCACAGGTTTGGTCGAGGCGTTCCCTTCCTCTACACCCTCTTCGTTTTTTTTTTCTGTGGGAATGGGTTAAGGGAAGCCTCAAATTCTGTGGAGGAGCCAAGGGCTGTAACCCAGGTGTCCCTGGATACCCGCAGCCTCCATCAGTGTTGCAGCCAACAACCGTGGCCCTTGAGGGGCCCACCTAGTGGAGGTGGTGGGCGCTTAAACACTGGTTTATCCCCCACCGGCGATGTTTGAGAGGAGGATGTCTTTGTCCTCCTCTCAATTCGAGGATTGAATCCCCCTTGGCTCCCGCTATAGTTGCGGGAGTTACGTTGGCCAACTCCGCTTTAGGAGTGGCTTATGGTGCCGCAGAATCGGCATCAGGTTTTTTCTCCGGTACTTGACGCAAAGGATTACACTCCCTGCAGCCTAGCCAGCCGGTGGGAGTAGCACCTGGGACAGCCAGGGTGAGCTGATACAACCCTCACTACTCGCTTCACCCAACGGCTACTGACCTAGGGATTTTGTCCAGGTTGCGAGAGTGGAAAAGAGGAACTCCTAAGGGCGGTGGCCTAGTTATGTTGGTGTGCTTAGATCAATGTGAGGGTTTTGTGTAACATATTTGCCCCAGTCTACATGAGGTTATCCACAGGCAGTCGGGGTGGGCCAGGCTGAGGAAAACTCCCCGGCACGGGACCCCGACCAGGCAGGGTGGCCCGCCGGAATTGTCACAATGAAACATAGTTTAGTCTTTAATACATACATGCAGTATGTATTATTAATATTATTATTATTAATTGGTTGGATTCGTGAAGAGCGATGAAGAACGAGGTAGTTTTTTCCTTAGAAAAACACCTTTTTCCGTTTTTTGTTACGTTTCGACCTTTATTCGGCTCATCTTTAGGGCGTAAAGTGTGGTGCTATTCTTGTGATGTCATATTGGTGTTGTATGAAAGTGTTATGAGAACACCAATATGAAAAAGCAAAAAAATGGAAATGGTAATTTTCTAAACTACCTCATTCTTAACCGCTCCTCACGAATCTAACAAATTATTAAACAACCAGTCACTGCGAGAAAAAAAATTATTATTACCAATGTATTTTTTTTTTTTTTAGTTTTGCTTTAAAATTATATTTTATTTAGTTTTATATTTCTGTATTTAATCGTTCTTGTATATAGGATTTATTCCGTAAAATAATAATATTCATAATGTGTGGTGTTTAGTGACCGTTAGCTATAATATTCATAATAATAATATTAAAATAATAATAATAATAATATTATTATTATTTTGTTCACCGATGATAAGTGACGTCTTTTCGGTGGGCTTGTCCCGTCCGCCGCCTTCGCAAAGACGAGCGTTTCCGTCGAGAGCAGCGGCTCCTGAGCCCTCGAATCTAAATACACCACAAATCGTGAGACGAACCTACCAACAACCGTCTGGGACTAACCAACCCTTTCCCATTCGCGTTCCCAACAGTGTTCAAATTTATAAAAAACTTAAGGATTTGTAAAATTGCCGGTTTTATATTTTTATTGTGTCAATTTGTGAAGAAATAATCTTCCATATATGATCCAGTCGTAATAATTATGTCCTATCACAAAAGTGATTGCCTGAATGTTTCAACCGAATCTGACGATAGTTCCGAGGATGCCGAAGGTGCTATTGCTGCAATTCTGAAAAAACTTTCCGGAGTAAGTGGTTATTATATTTAAAAAATAGAAAACACCACCTAGCCGTATTGATAGACGTTTCCATTTCGACGGAGACCGCTTCTCGATTATCCGAAATCGGTCCAAAGCCGAAGAACGCCGGGTTAACAGACAAAGGAGATGCTTGTTACCAGGAGTGTCTGGATTGTTTTTGCACTTTATATATAAACAATCGGCCTTCACAATACTAACGGCCGATTGTTTCGATTATTGGTGTAGAAATTAAGAAAAAGGCTTATATCCTTTCTTTCCTCTTAGGACGATTACAATATTTTGGACAGAAATCCTTTTGAAATGAGTGACACGTGCACTTGTGACTTCTGCAAGGAGTTAAGGTGATTTTTCTCATTTAGCCTACATACATAATTAACGTGTCTTTACACATTTGAAAACAATGTCAAATTGTTACTACAATCAGTTTGGTGTACAGGATGTCCCACGAATCGTGATCACAACAATTTACATTCCATTTTCAAGACTTTTTTTTTAAATTTAATTCGGATCAAGTTTCAGGTGAATATTTTCAAGAATCAAATGTGGGCACACATTCGAAAATGTACAACATAAAACAACAGTTCTCTCGGTTTTTTATAAAATCATAAAAGTATCCCTTTATATTCAGGTAATGATATTTTGATGTCGGACCGCTTCTGCGGTGTCACATGTGATAAATGGTCTTGCTGGTACGGTGCGAAAATATTTTTTGTCTTCAAGCAAATGATTCAACAGAACAGATCAGCAAATAGTACAATTTAAGTTTGACATCTTAAAAAGCTTTAAAAGTGAGTTTCCATGAACAATCGACTTGTTTTAGCAATTAGGTGAAGAAAGAGGTAAAGGTAAAATTTACCTAGTTAAAACCTGTAAAACTTGGTCCATTCTTTAATACCAACTTATCAACTTTAGCGATTTACTGAATAACAATGCCAGTATCGAGCTAGTAAAATCCTTTGAAAGTGATCCCCTTCTCTAATAAGAACAATCGACTCAGTTTTAGCTGTTTAATGAGCAAAGAAGTCAGGGGCCCTCAGTGGCCAAGGGTTTAGAGTGTCCGACTAATATTTGTCACTCAAGCGGTTCTGTTTGAATCTTGACACAAGGTAACATTAAAATTTTAACAGGATTTTTGCTTGTTCGGCTGATCTGACCCCATCACTTTTTTCAGGGTGACCACTTAGTTTTGCCAAATTTGGTTAAGCACCAACATTCAACCATTGCCCAGACCTTTTAGAATTATCATTGAGAATGTGAAGAATTACGATGCAAAAATGGACAAAACAAAAGACAGGAAGACAAAATTCTATAATTTTTTCCTTGTGGTGTAGCTTTTTTACTTTTTGTCATATATTTAGAAATGCTTCTGCTGATTTTGCCTTGGGTCAGACTCCATGGTTCTAGGTGTCACTATCTAAAATTTGTTTGCGATCTTTAGCTTCTTACATTGTTTGATAACAATACGTTTATTGAGGAGAGAGTGATTTTTTATCAGTAATGACAGCTGACTCATATCAAAAGTAATAACTAAGGTAGTGTATTGTTTTAAAGATTAATATAGATTGAAAAGATAAGATATTTTAAATTTAATATTGAAATTTCTCTTTTAGTTGAGTTGAACATGAATTTTTTTTACCAACCTGTCTCGTTTAAAACCCTTTTAAGCTTTGGAGCTGTTTAAAAAATTATTTTTATGTGCAAAATAGACACCAACTGAATACAACATCTGTAATTACAACTGACGACATGACCTAAGTAATATTAGGTCCATAATTTTGCATTATTTGATCTGATATTTTTTTAAAAAATTGATTATGGATACTAGAAACTGGAACAGTTCCCCTGAGCACTGCGGCTTTACAGCTTATTGTAATAGGATCTTCTATACAATCGACCAGCCTTTCTAATAGTTACTTAGGGTTGTGGTCAGAAAGAATTCCTTATTTTTGCACCAATGCCAAGCTTTCGATGATATATTTTGTCTACTTCGGGGTCTACAGAGAACGTTCTTACTTCTTTAAGAATGTTCTCTGTAGACCCTGAAGAAGACGAAATATATTACTGAAAGCTCGGCGTTGCATTGGTGCAAAAATAAGGTATTCTTTCTGACCACAACCTTAATCTTAAGTAACTATTATAGCTTATTGTACTCCTCTTAGTTCCATTTTTGGAGCTTGCAACAATACGTGTGTAAATTGATCCCCCAGTGTTCTTCCGTTGAAGAAACTCATTTTTGAGGGGGGGGGTCAGGATATAATTGTGAAAATTTTCAATGCAATCACCCTTGTGTATCAGAAAAATCTAGAGGCAATGGTGGGAATCGAACCCACAACTGCCACGGTATCTATTAACTGAGAGTCTGATGCCTTAACCATTCAGCTACCACAGTCATGGATTAGCTAGCTAGTAGCTCACACACTTAACTGACTTGTTCTTTATGTTGTTCTGGCTTGCTGAGAGGACTCCCTGCAACCCTAACCCTACTTCACCTAACCTAACCGTGGCTCGGTCGCAAACCTCCAACTCTACTTGCTGCTGTGCTCCCTGGCAAATATTAGTTCTAGAAGGTTTTTTTTGTAATAGTTCAGCTTCTCTTTACACAAACTTTTAGCAGGGATAAAATGATTATATTGGGATGTAAATTGTAAATGTAAGTCATAGTAATATTGGAAGAGTTTTATGTTTAAATTATTCATGAAGTGCATCAAGATTTGATTTTTGATTATAATTTTCACAGTATAAAATTTAAAAAAAAAAAAAAACATTATTCGTGGAATATCCTATTTCATTGCAAATCTTGAGAAAGAGTTTAAAAAAATCTGAATCTGTGAACCTGACTGCGTTAAAGGTCACTGGATGGTCCTGCTTCATTATTATTTTTAAAACAAAAATAAATAAATTAAATAAAACAAAAGTCAAAACTTGGATTTTATTAGGTTACTAACAGCAGGAGAACGTGAAGAACTCAAAATGATGCAAACCTATTGGACAGAGTTGAGGAATTACATTAGAATCGTTTATAGAATTTCTATAAAGGGCACTTTGATGTCGATTGATGAGGAATACACCAATTCGATCAAACTTGTCGCTTCGAGGTAAGGACTGGTTTACTCAAGAAACAAAATGAAAACGTAAACATTTTAGTTATAAAAATACTCTGATTCGTTTGGAAGATCAACGGTAGATTACATGCAATTTTTTTTTAATAACAATGTGGCAAATTATTTGATTGCGTTTATGTTGTGGTTTCTCATACTTAATATCTGTAAAAGTTTTTATCATGGAATACTCTGTAACATAATTAATTCCTAACTTACAAGTGGAATGTTCTTGATATCGAAACTTCATGGTGTACATGTAATAGAAATATTATGTGAACATAATGTGGTATATGAAGAATGTACATTAAATTTACAACTTACTGTAAATATTTTTTTATGTATGCTTTGTAATAATGTAGCAATATATTCTAAAGAGTACCATTGGGGTAATGATAATAATGTGGGAAATTCTGGGGCCAACAAACAGCTGAGGTCATTGTGGTCCTCTGTGCGTTTTTACTTCTTTTTCTGGTCTTTCACAGGTGTTTTGCAACCTGCAGCCTTTTGAGCATCTCGTTTTATTATTGACCCTCTACTTTTATGTGAAAACTAAGTCCATATCCTAAAATGCTAGCGTCTTATTTGTATCTCAGTTTGGCAACTACAGAATAAAACCTACAACACATTTACATCACTACAAACTTAAGTCTGGTTACATTCACTCTCACAGATATTCCTCGGGGGAAGGTTGAACCCACTCCATTCTCACTATTGACTTCCTTTTTTACTCTCAAACACACACACACACACACACACACACACTCTTACCCCAGAGTACTCGATGTTCCTCAGGGCGGGGTTAAATGAGGGCCCTTCCTTTTTAACAAATAAATAATATAATAAATTATATTCATTAATAAATTAACATAGACCCAATAAAAACACACATAAACACTATATAATTTAAAAATCCCTATAACCCTGAGTACGAGTACAATGATCTCACCCTGCCGCCTTGCACCAATACTACGCACGGATCCGATGATATGTCAAAATATTGTCTATACATGTCAACCCTTCAACAATTCTTTCCTTGCATAATGGGCACCTACGCAGTCACTTTCCAGCCAGAAGATGCTCGTGCGTTATTCTTGTATGACTGTAGTCTTGTCAGTATGGCCTTTTCCCTTTTTGAACCAGTTGTAGACTTTTATAAATTATCGTTGGTTTATGTATTCGTTCACACACTTTTTTTTTTAAATACTTCCTTTTGATTGTTATTATTTCGGTTTCAGTAATTAATTAGGAAAGCTTTGTTTTTGTAAGTCCATTGTTTAAATGTTCATTTTTTCGACTTTATAGATCATCGTATTTAGGTATTTTTCTGTCAAACTAGTTCTAATCTTCTTTTTCTAACAAGTTCTTATCTATTATTGGTAACTGTAAACGTTTTTTATTCAAGTTTTGAACTGTTTGTGTCGGATTTCTTTGGATTCGGATTTCTCCAGTCAAATAAGATATTTTGTATATTTTTGACGTTCTTCGCTGATTCACTTCTTTAACACAATTTGTTGATGCGTATTTAGAATGGAATACTTCTCTTTAATATACAAATATATGTATTTATAAAACCACAAGGGATCATACAATTTCAATTTTTAAGTGTTAGATGGATTGACCACTTTTTTACTCATGAATACTCTAGATCTCGGTATGTTCTGGATTAAACAAAAATTCAATTACAATCTGCCACCTATTTTAAGGTCATCATCGGGGTCATCATCAATCTTTAAAGATATCTACAAATTGACATAATTTTTTATTTTTAATAATGGTGTTAAATTTTTTTGAAGACTCAGTGTCAACATTGCCAAGGATTGCAACTGAAAGCTTGGCATATAGCAATTGAATTGTTTTCTCATCTAGATTATACCGAGACCCAGAGCATTAATGATTTTCAATTTTCTCACAGCATTTTTTTTTTAATTTAATTTTTCTTTGTATTATGACCACCCACCTTTTCGGAATGTTTTGGCTCACTGTATCATCCATCCAAACGTGTTAAAATAAATTTAAAATGCCATCATACGATTTGTAGTATGGGAGGAAATTCACAAGAAGCTTATGATTGAGGTTTGAAATTGTATAAAAAAAGCAGTCTTACAAAAAAAATTATTTATTTTTAACCAACCAATTTGCTCTTGTTGAGCCATCTTTCATTGTCTTAAAAAAATTAAAAAACAAAAAGAACAAAAGATTATTTACTTACATAAAGGTTTTATTAAATGGATATTATATTGAAGACAATCTAGGATAGGGAATAGGGAGAAATGAGGCCTTCCACGGCTTGACCTGAGTAGATTTATCTATTGTGTAGATCTATTTATTATTATTATTTTTATAACTTACTGGCCAGCTTCAGTTAATCAACCTCCATAGCCTTGCCAGCAGCTCTTTAATGTAGGGTCTTGCAGCTTTTCCTTTCCTAGTTGCAAAAATATACACCTATATGTACCCTCACAAAAACAGTATGTCTTCCGCAGTTTCCATTTCTTCCTGGCAGTATCTGCACAGTATTTCTTCTGTCAGTATTCCTATCTGGTACATAAGGCCTTTTTAGGCTGCAGTGCCCTGTCAGGAGTCCAAGGACATGGTAACTGGTTCCAGTAACTGCTTTGTAAGGTTTTGCATATGGCCCTTATGAATCTCTTGCATGCCTCATGCCTGGGGCGTTGCTCAACCATGTGTTGTACTCATTAAGGATCCATTTTTGGATGTTTCCTTTTGTGTGGCAAAGTTAGACCACAGTAGGGTTTGGGGCCTAATGTAAGAATACCTTAGTAAATTGAATTTTGTTGAGTTCTTTCATAATTATTAAGTTATTAAGATCACTGAAGAAGAGAGCTTGAGAGCAGAAAACAGATTCTCGAAAATTGAATAAAAATTGTGATTTGATCTTACTGATCATATTGGTCAGCCAATTCTCATGTTTTAACATTTTGTTAACTTCATTGTTCTGTCAAAAATGGCTTTCTTTTAATTAAACACTGGCAAAATGTTGAAACGCACTTGTCAGACCAACCCAACAAGGATAGTTTGGCCAAGATAAGTAGAGATCAAATTACTGGTTCATCAACCCACAGACTACAGGAAATCTCATCATTAAGTTCACAAATAATCAGAATCTACGGGTCTTTAAGTAGAAAATAACTTGATTTATTTTATACCTAAATCCTTAAGGTAATTTTATATTATTCTAATGATGAATCACATCAATGAAGTCTTAAGAATGTTTAAACCACACTAAAAATAGTACATAATTGTAAGTAGATGAAATCAGAAAGCAGGTGGTGGACTAGCAGAATTTTTTTCTGCTTTGAAAGCTTTTTTGTTTGTAAAGTTATATTTTAAATTTTTGTACTTGTAATGTTGTAATTGTATAGATAAGACAAATTTTACAAGGTCCTATACATTGGAACTGTGGTAGGTATATTGCAATATTTCCAAATTTATTAACAATCTAAGAAAAGTCCTGTGTTCTTTTTGAGTCTCTATAAATTATATTTTATTTAGTGATGAATTTGTTATAACCTATATGTGTTGTAAGATATTTGGAAATCTATCTTATATGTTAGAGTCCCGCTAGTCTGAACCAGTTGGGAACCAAGCTCGAAAGGTTGGATGAATGTACACCAAAAAATCATCTCTAGAGTTTATAACAGACAATACCAAAGAAAAAAAAAATATCTTCTGTGCTGACCCAAATGTCAGTATTAGTGGGACCTCTGTGGTTTCATTTTCTTCCTTTCCTGTATATTTCTATTTTGTTGTACTTCAGATACAATTTTTTTCCCAATCATAATTTTTATGCCCCTTCATCATCACAATTGTTTACAATTAAACTTGAAATCTTTGTTTTAACAATCTTAAGTTAACTCCCTATTTTTTTTTTTTTTTTTAATTTAATTTTGGCCAACTGTCTTCATGAGCACAAGCACAACTATTACGATCTTTATTTAAGACAGGGTGATTGAAATATTTACAGATCTCGTTAACAACAAATTTGCATTCAACTATATATGAAAACATTTCACGTCAAACGTCGGTTAATACAGCTGAACATTTATGCAAAAATTGAATTTGCTCAAATTATGCCAATGTCTTGCAATTACTCATAATAAATATTAATCGTTTTTTCTTTCCTTTTTGTACATAGAAACAAATCAGAGTATTTTTCAGTATTTAATATTTATGTTATTAATTTCACCAAGACTGTTGGGTTTTTCATGATAACACAAACTTTAAGGCTTTGCGATGTCTGCAATCCGCTTCAAATATACGAATGTCTGGAAAATCAAGTTGGCGAATTTGTTGTGGAAATAAAAGTTAGGCTTCTTCAATTAATGGACCGTCTTGCAGGAAATCCGCAACTTCCAAAATTGTTTATATCAGGTAATATTGCATTTTGGAAATGTTATATATAAAATGTTTATGATTTAGTTTTAAATTAAAATGATAATAATGAGCGTATTTGTTTAAATCTTCAACAGTCAATTAACTTTTTTATAAATTCAAATATCTTATCATTTTCCATTTAAACAGTAAATTTTTCATTATCTAATAATCAGAGCATTATTAAAGTTCTTTCTATTACTCTGCAAGATCATGGTTCATCCCCCCCCCCAAAAAAATAGCATTTGGAAATCTGGAATTGGGATTAACTTTAACATTTTTTTTGTGAATAAAAAAAGGGAACAAATTCATTGTGGATTTAGTGATGATTGCCATTGGTCAGTAAATGAGGTTGAGTTTAACATGAATTTTCTTTATTTTAGGAATGCTAGATAGCTATAACAAGATGATGAATGCTGCCAATAAGCTGACTCCGGTATTAAGCCGAATGGAAACGGAACATTTAAGCAAATTCAAATTAACTTGGAAAATTTTAAATCAAAGGCTTTTTCAAACTAGTATATACACGGATATTTTTTTCCAAAATAGTGTACCTCTTTTTATTACACAGGTAAATAAAGTTAGAAAAAAGTACACTGTTCCTTTCAATCTTTGTTGACTTGTTTGACTCTTCCTTAAAATAATTACAAGTATGGCTTGGTGGGTTTTTCTTCAATTCAGCGGGCTTTGATTAATCATAATGGTAAGATCCTTTATCGATACAGATTCCTATTAAAAGAGAGTAATAAAATAATTCATCCTTCATAATTTTCCCTATATTTTTAAGCAAGAAAGTACATATGTAGTGTGTTTTCTAATATTTTACTGATTTAATGTACGTTGCAGAACGATTAGGACAAATGACTGGTTTTACATGACTACTGGGACGAAAAGTGAACACGATTGGGACTCTAATAGTAGTGAATGGAGACACGATTGGGACATTTGGAAATTTTATTGCTATATAAACAATACATTATTTAGCTGGTAAAGGTCTCAGATAAATGGAAATTAGGTGCGGTGAAAATTGCACTTCGTCAAAGTGAATGAATGAAATGTAACGCATTACTATTATTGTATTGTTGTTGCAGTACTTTGACCCGCTTTTGTTAGGAAAGCAATTACGTCACGCGACTGTTGGTATTCATTCTAGGAGTCGATTATGAAATTTATTCCTTCTTGGTCATTGGCTCTGATGACATTGAAAGAACCACGGTCAATGCTACGTTGTTTCTGATTGTATTTCTTGTAATACTCCAATGACATTGTGTATGTTTGGGTGTGGCGCATAGAATTGCTTGTTGAAGTCATGGTGAAACGCTTCTGCGCCATTCTTGGTCCTAGGACTCATACGTTCTGGTGGTGCTGCCCGCATTTGAGAGGGGAAAGTACATCCGTCTTCAATATAAGTTGTCAGCACATAATAACTGAAGGTCATGCCTTCATTAGGAGCGGTTGCCATTATACTCGTGAAGGCATTGTACACATCGTTTGAGCTTAAGAAACTAAGTCCAAAAAAAAGTTTGACCCACTTACCAACAGCAGTGTTTTTGCAGAAGTGTCGCAGTAGCCTTTTGTCCTTCTGAATTTTGCAAAAACATGACCTAGGTGAAAATTGCAACCGCGGAGTATGCATTGGGGAAATCGCAGTTTAAAATGAAATGATAGTATTTTCAGTCACATCAGTCAAAACTGTGAATTTACACATACAATTCGTACATCTAAAGCACACCGGACCGTCTTTTTTCACACGATGTTTCGTCAGTCGGTACCCGCCTACAATAATAGCGACATTACCTTGTTCTGTTGTCACCTTGTCATCTATTAATACATCCATATTTGCTAACCCTAACAAGAGATACTAATGACAACGAGTTAACGAGTACATCTGATGTGACAGAAAAGGGAGGAAAGTTCACTGATTAAGATCATATGAGACAACAACAGTTTGTTTACACACGACTGTTTCTTTTTCTCTTCGTCCCAATAGTGCCGTACTTCCTTGTCTGAATCGTGTCTTGCATTCTGAGACCTTTCACTTAGCCGCGTCCCAATTTGGTTGTGGCCTTAACTTATACATTGCAGAGACATATTTTAAAAAAACATGATTTTTTTTTTCATAAGAAATGTTTGGCTCTAATATGCTGTGCTTTATTCCATATAGTTTTATGCAAATTGTTACTGAATGTATGTACAAAATGAAGTAAAATGCATCGTGTTCATTGTTTTTAACTTAAGCAAAACCATACATTCAGTAATCGGTGTGAAAGTTGTGCTGGTGCTTAATTTTTTATTAACAGTTGGCCACTCATTGAGTTCTCACAATTGTAAAGCTAAATATGTATGGCATGTGGAATCATGAAAATTAACTGACCATTTCTTGAATTAAGTACTGGCAAAATGAGAAACATTGAGGGTTGAAGCACTGACAATTTTTTCATGGTGAATATATTGTCATAATTTCATCGCAGTCGAAGGATTTCATTATTTGGCCTAAGAAGGGGGTACAAATATTTTTTTCATAATATTTTTCAAATTAGTACTACATCTTAGACTACCCCCCATTAGAAATTAATATAATGCAATAATAGCATTTTATCAAAAGAATTGAGTATAATACATTGTTAAAATCAACCTAGTGAATTAAAAAAAAAATAAAAAAAATAAATAAACATATCCTGCTAGAAAGGATGATAAGAGAAGAGTAGAATAAGAAATTTGCACCATGTTTGGGCTATAAACTGTCTACTTGATCAATTCAAGTCCAGTATTCGATTAAAAAATATTTTGATTTTTTTTCTACAGCCAGTATTTAGTTGAAAAATATGATTGATTTAAGACATTTTTCTTCAATTTTTGGGTTGCCTTTACACTTTTTTTTAAATAATAGGGTCAATTTTGTAAAATAAAAAAGGAATTTAGTATAAAATTTAATTTTTTTAAAATTTCCAATTGTATTAATGACATTATGCATGAAATGATAGTTTTGTGTACTCAGTTTTTTCAGTTTTATTTTATGTTTTTTCAGTTAGGAAAAAAAAACAACTCTGAAGAGAACAAAGTTCTCGTCAGGGAGTTTTTAAGTTTTGATGACGAAATAACCTTAGTTGAAGGAATGTGGAGCGACGTTGAAGAACACTTAAAATCTTTCAAGTAATTTAACATAACTTTTCCTATACTTCAAAACATTTTAAAATATAACTATAAAAATAAAATTGTTCTTTTAGGAAAGATTCTTCCACTAATTCTACCTTCCGAAAATACCTTACACAAGACTGGGAGGAATTCAAGGCATTGAGGAGAAATCATTATAAATTGTGCAATAAACATTTAGCCAACCAGTAAGTAAATATCTACAATTTATTTTTTTATAATGTAAATTCAGAAAATTGTCCAAGTGCTTTAAATTTCTAATTTTATTTTTAGGGATTCGGATGACAATTCATCCCTCAATGATTTTGACCTAACAAACTGGTGTGAGGAAGACGAAAATGATTTAAATGAAACATGCGAATGCCATGTATGTCCCAATGTTCCTACTAATAATGTATGTATTGCTTTTTTTATCCTTTATATCTTTTAATAATTAACACAGAAACAACTAATAGTAATAACAAATGTCGATTTCCAATACAGTTTTGTCACTCCTTAATGGAATGTAAATAAAAAATTAAGATGTATCAAGTAAGAATGTATTGTACAATTAAGAAATTATGCTACAACTTTATTCAGCAGATTATGATTGATTTAAACAAATTCAGTACAGGCAAACCAAGTCTTAATTTGTAAACTCTACAAACTTCTTAGTAAATTATTCCTAAGCTATATTAGTTTTTAATATATACATTTATTAAATAAATAAAGTAAAAATAATAAACATTGATGTTGATATGTTGTTTAAACTTGTTATCAAACAAGAGCTAATGTAATCATTGTTGTTTTAATAATTTAACCTGGATATGTTTTTGGGTTGGTTGCACAGTGTTTTGTTTTTGTGTATGATTTTGTCATTTTTGTGTGCTAGGGATGGGCTAGGTAGGGTTAGGGACAGATTTGGTTAGGTAGTGTTAGGGTCTAGCTAGGTTACATGTTTTTAGGTTACAAAGGTTGTTTTCCTTCAGGATTTTTTTCTATTGATATTTTTCATATTTCATATTTCACCAATCATTCTGTTTAATTACCTTCATACAATTTATTGTAGTACAACAGTTTTTTATTTTGGGAATTTGGAAGTGATATTGAATTGAAGGTACTGCAGTTTTTCATCTCTCCAAGAACTTGCATGAAAAAAAAGATTAAATAATAATATTGTGGGACGTTTAAGTGCCGACAAACAGCTGAGGTCATTGAAGTAATATTGAATGGAAATAGTGTAGGAACTGTAATTTTTTCATCCCTAAATTTAAGGACTTTCTAAGACTGTTTTAAAAAATAAATAAAATGTAAAAGCAATAAACATTGATAAGCAAACACAGATGTCATCAAACAAGAGCCAAGGTAGTAATCATTGTTGCTTTAATAGTTTAACGTTTTTTTTTGGGTTGAATACACAATTTTTGTGATTTTATCACTTTTGTGTCATTGATTTCACATTATTGGGGAGTGCGCATAGGTTGGGCTACGGGTTAGGGTAGGTTGGGTAGTGTTGGGGACTAGTTAGTTACATGTTATTTATTTTATGATTTTCCTATGCAAAAGTTGGTGTTTGGTTCTCATTAATGTTATTCTAAATGTGTTAATCACGAAATAATCTAACCTTTACAAGTCATTCTTTTAGCATGTATTTATATGGAAAGTTGTATTACAAGTCCCATTCTTTTAGCATGTATTTCTTTGGAAAGTTGTCTTACAAGTCCCTGTTATCTGGTTTAAATATGATAGAAGATAACAAGAAACCAAAATAAGCCCCCAATGAAGATAAATGAAATAGAAAGGTTTTTGCCTAATCTGGTATACAGATATTACTGATGTTTGTGCTTAAAAGGTATGTGCATTTACAAGCCTCACAGAACATTAGGGAAATCTCTTATTTCAAATTCGCTTGACTGAGCCATAAAATTTATTGAAATATAAGGGATTCCTTCCTAAAGAACCAATTATTCATGCAGTTAATTTCTTAAAGCAAAAAGTTTTCAATGGATGTGCAATATGCATGTCAATCTTTCTTTATGTTGTATAATTTTCACCTGACAACAAAGATACTTGTAGTACTTTAGTGCTTGTTGGAACATAATACTAGTAATAAAAGATATTGATTAAAGTCGTTGATACAGCCCTTTGAAAGGTTTTTTTGTCTGGATAAAGTTTTTTACAAGACTATAGGTAAGTAGTTTTAGCAAATGTCTTATTGCAATTTTCCATTATTAATCTCCTTGTTAATAAAATTGTCTTTTTACTGGATAGAATAGCATTGTAAAAACAAACAGTTTCATTAGTTAAATCAATTTTAATCAGTCACCATTCTTCAAAATCAGTCGACTTGGTTCTGTATACATTTTAACCATAGTAAATTTATTTTTTAATGCACTGTAAAAACCTTATAGTTTGAACTTTTGTAGTTGAATTAAAAATGAATATTTTTATAACTAAATTAACTAATAATAACTTTAGGAATTTCTGAAATTTTTTTATCAAAAAGCTTTTTGGCCTCCCCCTCCTCAACTCCTAGCTATATGTCATGTTATTATTAAAAGTGACTAAATAAGGTGACCCAATACTTTCTCAATTAAAGGATTTTTTTGCATGTCCAAGTGAGATTTATGAAAAGGAAATTTAAAAATTTATTAGAGTTGGTGTAATAAATACATGGTTTGCTTCATTTATAAACAACTGCAGCTAATTATTGGAAAATAACAATTATTAATATTTAAAAACTACATCAATGGTCTGAAGTGTCTCATAGAAGTGTCATAAAAATATGAGCTTATACGTTTTTGTCTTTTTATTTTAAAATTATTTGTGGGACGTCAGTGGTCACAAAGGTTAAGGTGTTGATATTGCGCTCATCACTGTCAGATAAAGATCCCGGGTTCGAATTCAGGACCGCTGTAAAGAGCAAGAGAGAGAGTGAGAGGTGGGGGGAAGTTTGCTAAACCCGACATACATACAAATGTTTTCAAAAACACAGGCACCCCCTACCTCACAGTTGAAATCACCTTGTTTAAAAAACAAAATCTAGCCATACTTAACTTAGCCAAACCCATGTGCACTTCTCGATAATGTGATAATTGAACCCGACATACTTACAAATGTTTTTAAATTTCTTTTCAGAGGATCTTCGGAAGAGGTCAAAACAGAGAAAACTTCCTTACGGTTTTCGCCGAGCTTTCGACAGTTTTATACTGTCATCTTCAGAGCCTGTTTTATTATCATATAAACAAACAAAACATGAAAAAACAATAATTACAACAATAATTGAATATCTTACTTTAAAACCTTAAAAAAACTCAATTTCCTATTAAGGTTTTAAAGTAAGATATTCAATTATTGTTGTAATTATTCTTTTTTCATGTTTTAATTGTTTGTTTATATGATAATAAAACAGGCCCTGAAGATGACAGTATAAAACTGTCGAAAGCTCAGCAAAAACCGTAAGGAAGTTTTCTCTGTTTTGACCTCTTCCGAAGATCCTCTGAAAAGACTTCTTGTATCCAGCAGGTCGATAATCTAGTTCATTACATTTTTAAATTTATTTTTATTTTACTTGTTATTTTATTGTTTTCAAAAACTGATAATCATAGGGCTCATATAACCTTGTACGTTTTTTTTTTTTAAATGAGTGTAACTAAAAAATATGACGTAGTTAAAATAGCTTCGTAAAAAAAGTAAACCAGTTTGTGTGTGTGTGAGTATGCATGTTTATGTGTATAAATGTGAGCCCAAGTGTGTGATAAAATGTGCACACATAAGCTTAATCTTTAAACATTTCATCGCTTTATTAATTGAATTAATAAACAGTCAGGAGGACTAAAAAGTTATTTGCTGTATATTTGCATAATTAAATTATGAATAGTTACGAAGTAATCCTCTTTTTGTTTATATGGTAGTGAATTGTGAAAAGACTAACATTAATACCCATCATTAAACATGGAAAATATTGCATTATAAATATATCATGTTGTAGGTCACCCTTATTGACGATGTACTGCCATTAAATCGAACAGGGTTTCATTTATGTCCCCATATTCACATCCATGGTAATTTTATAAGATAATTCATCTATTGACATTACAAACCACCTTAAACTTAAAATTGATTTTTAGAAAAAAACCATACCAAAATTGAAGGCGCCAATGTTCCAAAAGACAGTAAACAGGTACTGAAAATGAAGATGAAGGTTTGTTCTATATATTTTATATTAGTTTATATTTTTTACATTTATGTATATTTGATTTTAATATCATTATTTGATCTTATTTCACTTTTTGTTTTCAAAATTTAATTGTAATAACAATTGTATATTTCTAAATAATTCAACCAATAAATAAAGTGATTTTTTTTACCGTCCGGGGCCATATAAAGCATTATCTTGCCATATAACAGTCTTGCAATCTTTTTCGATCACTCCAGCATAACAGGGATGGGTGGTAAAATATGTATTTCTGCATCTGGACTTAATATGAAGTTTTTAGTTTGGTCATTAAAATTATTTTTAGCTTACAACTGTTTTTTTTATTTTTTAAATTATTTTTTATTGAGCCTCCTATGTTTGCTAGAATGCACTAAAATTATTAAATTATCGAATGAATTAAAATTTAATGTCAATGTTTCTTATTTAAAAAAATATTACTATTTTATTTTTTATTATTTATCTCGCCTATTTTAACAAAATAATATTATTTCTCATTGTTTGAAAATGATAATTTTTTAGGTGAAATTAACTGGGAAGTGTGACTTCTGTTTATATTTACAACCTTATCTTAGTTCAAGTTACATACAGTTTGTTTATTTACATAGTTTTCTTAAATATATATTAATTTTAGGTCCTATGTTTACACATTTTTATCTGTTTGGACAATTTTGTTTATATTGTACTTTGAAGAGGAAATATTTTTTAGACGGCACTAAATGAATCATTCTAAAGTTATTTGCAATAATAGACATATTAATGTGTCAATTTCACTAAGCCACATACCCCGTTGTATAGTCTCAGTTGTAACATGAGAAATATAAATGTTTCGATTTTTCAGTCTTGGAAGGAATCGTACAGCAGTAAAGCAGCTCGAAGTAGAAAAGGTGAAGGAGCAACACCCATTGTAAAAGGCCAACACGACAAATGTAAGTTTGATTAATTTTAATAAAGTAATACTAAATCTTAGAAACGTTCAGACAGTTAACAGAAATAAGACCAGGGTTGACTCCAAAATTTTCCTGGAGTTTAATGATGATCCTATCTGGATTTTTGTTTTTAAAATTTCATTGTGATGAAATACACGAGGATGAGGGTGTTCAGGAAGACAATGGTCAGAGAAGGCCCAACTCAACAACCTTAACTCTTTGTGTCACTAACCCTTAAAAATATGCAGCCCACGCTGAAGATAGTGATAAACTGAAGAAGTGTGACTAAAGGACAATACATTGACAAAAATACATAGGAAATGGCCAAACTACAATTCATCACTCTTGCACACATATATTTTCTCCGTTTTACGGAAAAACATTTAATCATGAATATGTAACCTTAACTAAACCTTAACTCTATCTGTACCTAAGTTAATAAGTCCATAATTCTGACCCTATCTAACTTAACCTGTCTCCAACAGTAGTCTACCTTATCTAACTCATCCAACCTTAACTCTTCCTGTTCTTAACACTATCTAACCTAAGAAGTCCCTAACTCCACTTAACCTCCTAACCTCCGTAACCTGTCCCTAACCCTACCAGACCTAACCTGACTTTTATGACGACAAAATTTGAAAACATCATCAACCTAACCTAACCAACTCAGGTGTATTCCCTGGTAATGCAATTTTTTAAAAATTTATTGTTTATTTATTTTTTGGACTTATGCATAGTTCCCATTTTGGTGGCTTCTTATAACATGTGTGAATTAAGTGTATGTGTGTGTGTTTTACCAACTACTTTTTACCAAAACAAATGTTGACACTTTATTTTAACAAAATTATCCATGGTATATCATGAATACCTTTGATTTTCACTTTGTTGCTATGGGGTCAAACTACTTTCATATATTTTTGTCATATAATTACCAATTAAAATTCCATGGGCTGTGTCAGGGTTTAAATCCAGAACCGTTGACATGGCAAGTTGGATGCCCTAACCACTTTGCAATTAATACAATATCAAATAATAACCTGTTAATTTAAATTTTCAGGTATAGAAAAAGAGAAAAAAGAAGCATCAACTGACACCACTGAAGTCCAGCATAATTTTTGTCCAATACATAATGATGTAATGGAATGGATACCTTGTGGTGAAAGTTAGTTTTTTTACATTTTTATTATTATAAATTATTAGTTAATTGGTATTTTTTAAACAGCATTCAGTCATTGGAACACTGATTTTTTTAAATTTTATTTAAGTCTTGGCTCATTTCTGTTTATACATATATTTTATCTGATTATTTGATTTTAGATGATATCTGTACTTGTGATGGCACCGAAGAATTCAATTCTGATACGTCAGATACTGATTCAAGGCACTGTGACTGTTATTACTGTGAGGTATTCGGTCATGGGCTGGTATGTTGAAAGCGAATCAAATAATAACACATCGGTATATACTGTACGAATAATTTTATTATTCAGCCTGCAACAGCACCAATGAGTCGAAACTATAAAGAGATGAGAGAGAGATTAAGACTTCTGTTGAATAAAAAAAAATCGAAGTGTAGAAGTACAACTGTTCCAACGCTCGCAAATAACACAATGCCTCAAGCACAACCCAAGAGACATCAGAATGGAGGTATATATGATATACAAATCAATAAAGCAAAATCCCAAAGTGGTGCATTTGTAAAATGATAAACCATTAACTTTTTGGGCAGTGAAGGATGTTTTAAATATTTGAGTTTTTGTGTTAACAATAACAACTGATTTTAAAATTTTCTATCCTTATTCAACTTATTTGAGTACCTAATAAATTTAGTTGTCAAAAATTAGACTTTATTTAATGTATTCTAGGTCCACCAAGTCAAGAGAAACCACAAAAACTGCAGAAATCAGACAAAAGTACAGCCACACCAATAAAAGGTATTTTTTGTCTCATCACTTTCGTTATAATGTTGAAATACCGGTCATTATGTTTACAGCACCACCGCCTCCTGTTGTTGAACATGATCCACGAGATTTGGAAGATCTTCTGGATTTTATAGAAGGGACAGAAGTAAAATGTCGGAATGAAAAAAAGGCAGCTAAAAAAGCTAGGCAAAAAGAAAAAAAGGTGATTATTTCTTATCATTCTTTTAAACATAGAATATATATTCTTTTTATAATGTTGTTAATACAATTAAAAAAACTAACAACCAATGTTACATTTTATTGAAAAAAGATATTTTTAGAAGATTTTAATGATAAGAAAGAAAAAGGAAGAAGAAGAAAAGGCTCGATTGATCCAAGAAGCGATTGAGAAAAAACAAAGAGAGGAAGAAATGCTGAGGCTTGCAAAAGTAAAAGAACAAGAAAACGCCTCCAAGTCGAAGAAAAAATCGAAGAATCGATCTCAAATGTCACAAAAGGAAGACAATGTTCAGCACAACAAACCTAGCGAAAATCCCGGTACTCAAATGGTCACTATCAAGAGGATAATGGAACCGCACAGTTCTGAACCAACTGTTACAATAACATTAAGAGGTGCAACACCGAAGCAAGACAAAGTTTTATACACGTTATTAAATGGCCAAGGTAAACATTTTAACATTATACAAAGGAAAGTTTTGAAATGATTTTCCCCCCTCCAGTGTGCAAAGTCAAAGATGTTCCTGTGGAAAGTCAACACTCAAACTCCAAGCATGTTAGTACAAAAAAATTTAACAACTCTAGTGAGCTGACAGCTACAAAATCAAATAAAAAGGTGAAACAGAAAAAGGAGCAGCAGCAGAAGGTAGAGCCAACACCATCAGCACCAGCCAAACAAAAGCCAGTGAAACAGCTTACAAACCCTACGTCAATTCAAATAAATAATGCTATTAACACTATGTCAAAACATCCGACAACACATTTTAACATAAACGATTTAAAACTCCCCCCTGGAATCACTATAACTAAAGTTGATTCTTCAGAATCACCTTTTAACAAAAAAGTTAAGGTAAATATTAAAATACTTATAATTTTTTTACTATTGTAATCATAATTTTAGTAACTAAGATATCCACAATGAGTTTACATGTCTTCTTTTAATTATAATTAATCAGTATTTAATAGGTTTCGAGATTTCTGACGAGGGATTGACTGACAAATGGTTGCTACAGACATAGTAACCAAACATTTTAATGAAACTTTTTTTTGTAATACTTGCTTGAAAAATATTAGACAAGTGTTTGAGTGTTCTTGTCAATGGGTCCTAGTAGCAGAGAATTAAAAAAATACTTTAAGTAATTTTTTAAAACTAATTCCTGTCTTTTTTTGTGTGGATGTATTGCAAGTGTCCATATGTTATATATATCAAATAATTTTCTTTAACTAGGATAAGAAAGTAGAAAGTACGAAAACTCATATTAAATAAGATTAAATATATAAAAGTTACAAAAACCAAAAAATACTTTCAGTAAAGTAGATTAAAAAAATTGCTTAAGAGAAATTACATTGGTTAAGTTAACTACTTAATCCTTGCTATTTGTTTGGTACTGACCATTTCAGTATCTTCAGTGGGTGATTTTTGCACAGCGAAGATAAGCAGATGTAGATGGAAATGAACGGTATGACCAAATTGCAGGTTCATCACCTTACAGACAACATGGAGAAGTCCCTCACTTTAATGTTTGTTATTTATTTGTCCACAAAAGACGCATTCAGTAAAGTAGGTAAAAAAAAATTGGATTCATTTTAACCACCCTTTAGTGCCCTTAAATACAAAATTTTATAAGAAACAAAAAATTATTTTTAGACCATATCATGCAGTGACAGGGATTAGCCTTGATATTGCAACTGCTGGAAAGCTGAATCTTTCTACTGTCAGGCTATATCAACAGGGTGTAGATTTTATGACACTATAAATGAGAGAAATATGGATGAAATAAAAAAAAAAGGTCAAATGTTTTATTTCACAGGTTCTGATTTATTTAAGGAGGTGATGTGTAGGTCGCATATGTAATTTATAAGGTTCTAAATCACTGCAAAATGTCCAGTGTATTGGTGGAGTTGTTTCAAAGTTATTAACATTTTTGTGATTTTTCTTTTAAAAAAAAAGAAAATCAGAGTTAAAAAATAAAAAATAAATAACCAATTTGTTATGTTGGTCAGTCACAAATTGCGTATTTCAATACCTACAGGCTATGGGCAGCTGCCAAATACAATTTTGACGGAAAGACAGCCTAGTGAAGGTAAGAACGCTCAGATACATGTCAAATAATAATTTTGTAATAATTTATCAACATAGTATCACAAAATAAGTTTCATCAAAATCTTTAATACTTTGTCTGTGTCTCCCCTTGAAATTTGTTTGAAATTATGATAGACAAAAAATTAACTAATTTATTGATGTGATTAATAATAAAACATCAAAAACAGAAAAGAATAATTTATGTATGTTTTACTAAACAGTACGATAAAATATGGCTGGACCCACACACATTTTCTGTTTCTCTATATATAATTATATATCGGCTTCTTTGGTAGAATCTACACTTCCGGGGTTCATTGACAATAATATTTTATGGATAAGTGCACCTGAATTTTTATCCCTTGCTCTCTCTCGTACATTTTTAATTTCCTTCCTTTCCTGATGTTGAGAGGTTAATCTTCTGGTCTGGTTTACAGTAGGGTCAAACTTAACAAAATCAGTCTAATCTGAGTTCATTATAAATAAAAAAATTAAATCATGGATATTAACCTAACCCTAATTCTTCTACCTATCATAACCTAGTAAATCTCTGACCTTAATCCTACCTAATCTGTTCTAACCCTAACCGTACCTACATAGCCTAATAAGTAGAAATAATGAAGATTGGGTAAGTATGTTGATTCACTTTTATGAAAAGGATGGCTCTTACAGGTTTTTTTGTTTAAAATGTTGCGGATTTCAAGTATTAAATGTTAATAATCAAGTTGAAGGCATTAAAATCATGTCTCTCGAATTGAATTGTTAATTCATGTCAAGAGATGTGTTTGTAACTCCTTCAACTTGAAGATGAGCGTTTAATTCTTGAAATCCGGATCCTTTTAAAAAACAATACCTGTGAGTAAGAGCTATCCTTCTCATAAAAGTAACCTAATAAATCTCTTAACGTAACCCTATCTAACCTGTCTAAACCCTAGCCCTACCTAACATAACCTAAGTAAAAAAAATGAAGGTGAGGTTAGTATATTGATTCACTTTTATGAAAAGGATGGCTCTTTATTCACAATTCATGTCGAGAGACGTGTTTTTAACTCCTACAACCTGATGATGAAATGTTGCTTGAAATCCAGATTGTTTTAAACACAAAACCTGTGAGTAAGAACATTTTCATAAAAGTAACCTACTAAGAACTTACCTTAAGCCGCCTACCTAACCTGTCCATTACCCATCAGAGATCAACACATCATTTTATTTCTTTTCCTCCTTATATAATTATGTATTGGCTTCTTTGGTAAATCTACACTTCCTTTGTTCATTACATTCTTTGCTGATCTTGTGAGGTCATTATTCCAATTTCCAGTGAGAAATTTCTATATATTTGAGTCCTGTCTTGTTTTGTACGCTTAACATGTTGCGTATGGGCCTGAACATAAATTNTTTATATCAATTCCTGCACTAGTAACAAGTTAATTAATAGCGTGTTAATTCAATTTGGTCTTGCCATTCTGAACCATGCTCAAGCTGATTATGTTTGAATAAATGAATATAGCTTCTTTATGTTAGCATCTTCTGATCTAATTTTAAGACATTCTAACAATTCAGGTTTAAAACACAACATATATCAAGTGCTGATACCCAGGTAATAGGTAAAAATCATCACACTTCATCTTTGAACCGATACTTATTGTATCATTGGATCAAATTTAATATCAGTATAATCTGAGTGTATTATCAGTAATAGAAATGTTGAAAATTTTCAGGAAAGTACAAATACAAAAGTGAGCAGCACGCCAATGAAATCAGCTGCTTCTTCAGAGGTGATTGTTGTTGCTACAAACAAATTAAAAGAATTAGCTCCATCAAATGGTAAATAATGATGTCATTTTTTAATCTTGTTACCACATTGTTTATACATCCATCAATTTGTAACCAAATTTATTTTAATTTATTTAGGTGCGTTGAAAACTTGCGATTCACACGGTAATAGTAACAATAACAACAACAGTGCCAATAATAACAATAATAAAAAAAAGAAACAAAAAAAGAAAGATCAGGAACAAAGAATAAAGTGTGAAGAGAAAAATCCTTATCCAGGATTGGACATTGATCCTATACCCATGGCTTCACAAAATGATCTCGTCCGCCAAATGTCAGTGCTGACAATAAATCCTTATGCCGGAAGTAAAGAAGTTACAGAAATAAAACTTGATGCCAGTAAAAAGAAGAAAAAGAAGTCAAAGAAGGGAAACGAACCAATTAATAATCCAGATGACTGGAAAATGTTAGGTAAGGTACTAGGTAACATTTTTATTATTGTGCATCTTGTATTTTACTGTGGGTATTTAACGCTTCTATGGTTGCATGTTTTTACCTTACTTATATTTTTTCACCATAAACATCTCTGTAATTTAGGCATTTTTTTGTTTGTTTTTACATTTGCTTAAGTAAACTACTTAATGCTTGCAATTTGTTTGTTACTGATAATTTCGGTATCTTCAGTGGGTGGTTTTTGCACAGTGAGGATAAGCAGATGGAAATGAATGGTAACGACCAAATTAATTACAGGATCATCACCTTGCATACAACACGGATAAATCTATCAATTTAATGCTTGTTATTTATTTGACTGTCCATTTTATATATATATATATATATATATATGGGCAGCATATACCAATATATAAAAATTTTTATATAAATTGTGTAATATATAAGCTCTACTATCAGGGTCTTCGAGCGGTCTCTGGCGCGTTAGAATAAGCCCTTTGGACAGCCTTTGCTGCAGCTGGAATTGCAGCCGCCCACATTTCAGAGGGAGCAGCTCACCCATGACGGGGTTCCTACCACACTGGGACATCCCCTTTCGCATGCAATCCTTAGATGCCAGTACAGTGTAATGTATGAGCGACTTCAGACCTGGACGCAACCTCCAGGAATATGCTTTAGCAAAGTCTGAGGGAGGGTGGGGATGACATTTGGAATGTCTTGTGGGCACTGGCCGACTGCCCTGGGTCCTCCTAGCCATACTTGTCCGGAAAGATCTTACCGTGTTAGTTAAGTTGTGTACTCCGCCATACCTTTACAGAACTAAGTTAAATGGACGAGGCGACTAGGGCCGGAATGTCCTAACCTCCGGACCTAACCACCATGATCTGGCCCTCTGATACTACGAATGCAATAAAAAAACATGGTTAAAAGATGGTGGCAGCGTCAATATTGACAGAGAAGCTGTTGCGTATCAAGAGCACTGTCAATGGGTGGGTACCTCGGAGTATTTGACTCGTCGAAGAAGGGTCATCCTTACCCGATTAAGAATAGGCCATGTGAGGTTGACACACGGACATTTACTTTTGGGCCAAAGCCTGTGTATGTGTCCGGCATGCAGAGAAAGGTTACTCGATGTGTCCCACCTAATTGAAGGCTGCAATTCCTTGGCTCCATACAGAGAGCAGGAAGGCAGTGAGTATTTGGGTCCCCTGTTCCGATTCTTGGAGGGGGGTATTGTATATAGTAATAATAGTTGTGAATACCTAGTTTGTGTTGAGCGTGAATGTATGATGTGTGAGATGCGGAATATCTAGTACCCCCATCAGGGCTCAATTGGGTTAGTTATACAACTCTACTATTATACAATATGTGTAAAGGGTGATGGAGGAATATCAAGTACTCCATCACCCCAATTGAATGAACGCTATGTAATTAGGAGTGAATGTATTTAAGAATGAATATAAGTACAAATTTATTTGGAACTGCACTGGTGCTGAATTGACTTACCTGTTGGCAGCATCCCCCAGAGACCAACCTCGGTGGCTGGTCTGATAAGATTGAGGTCTGCCTCCGGACTGCCAACACCAGGGGTGGGTGATTCTCAAGCCTGTCGGCAGTTTACTGTAAATAGCAAAATTGGAATTGCCAGTGGACTACAAGAAGCCAATAGGCTCAACTCTGCACATGTTTGTATATATGTACATACATGTGTGGATATGGGCCTATACAAATCCAATATATTTGATATACACATATCTATCATTTATTATATGTATATTAGGTTTAATTGAATGTACATTAAGAATACTTAATGCTTACATATTGAATACTTACTCTTCAAAAAAAAAAAATCTGAATGAAACGGTCTATTCACCTTTTCCTGATTAACGGTTATGTCTATTTCTTACATTTCTTTAAATATTTGTGTTAAAAATTGATAATTAAAATGGCATAACTTTTGTAATTCTAAATTGTTTAGAATTTTATTTGTGAACCTAAATAGTGTAATTTAAAATTAACACTTTGATATACCCCTTTCCTAATTTTTAGTCTGAAGGTCACTCAACTGTAGGCCAATGTATTATTTTAATTGTAGGCTGGAAAATAAATACAACTCAAGCTTTGCACTCGTATATTTTCTTGGCTTCATGGAAAAACATTGAATCATGGATATTTAAACTAACATTAAGCCTTAACTCTAACCCTAACCTCACATGTCCATAACCTTAACCTCAACTCTACCTATCCTAATATGTCCCTAACCTACCTAATCTTAACACGCCCATAACCATAAGCTTGGCATTACCTAATCTAGCATATCCCTGACTCTCCCTTCCTGAGTGGGTTCAATGACCATCATCAGCAGCCGATATAAGCCATTGAGTTTAAAGCACCCATTGGAAAAATTTTACACCTTGGAACACTTGGGTTCTAATTTGCCACTAACCTTATATAAATGATAAAACCTTAAAAGTTACAATAAATAACCAAACCTTAACTTAACTATAACGTTATTCCTAACCAAACCTTGCACATTCCCCAATAATCAATAGTGCAAAAATGATCATACAAAACATGTATCCAACCCAAAAAAAATATCCATGTTAAAATAAGATTAATTTGACTGCACTGTCACTTCCAATATATGTTTACTGTGATTTAAGGTTCACTTATCATTGTAATTTTCAATGAAATTTTGTCATGTATATATATCTAGTTTATAAACTGCACGATCTCTCATCTGAAGGTGTACAATGTTGAAGATACAAACTAAATATATTTTTTTAAATTCATTTGTGTACCTCATGCTTATGGTATATAGGTACATTTTAAGAATTCTACAACTTTGTTGTATCTGTAAGTATTTCCTGCAGTTTCTAGCATTATTTAATATAAGTTTAAAAATTAATTTTGGACAGCAAAAACTAGTAAGAAACCTTTTGCTGCAAATAAAATTTGTTCAAACTGAACTAAAAAAACAATATTTGTGTAAAATCAATCTCTGATCCAGTTTGAACAATGTTATCGATTATGTTCAACTCATGTAAGAGTTTATGTACATTTAGTTTATTCTCATATGCCATTCAGGTCAGCCTCAAGTAAAAGTTATATGTCTTGGAAGCAAAAGTTGTTTTCAGACAAGTGTTGGTGATCCTATTTTGAAAACCCTCATATCCTCTTGAAGAGGATATTGCTACAGGATCGGCCAGCAACACATTTTGCATGTTTCTGATGAAATCTTTGTTTGGTGGTATGCTTTTAACAATCAAAATACAAGATAGAAGCAAAACTGATCATGGTAAGTTTTTATTTACATTATATAATATAATATATATAATATACACACATCAGTATATATATAAATTTTTATATATATATATATACACACAAATTTATATATATACACACACACACACACACACACACAAATTTTATATATATATAGACCATTTATTGTTTAACAAATCTTTATTATTAAAAGGTTAAAGTGTAATTGTATAATTCTTGCAATTTTTATTAAATAGGCTGTTGGGTTATTTTTGTATATCAACAGATTGATGTAATCATTTAGGAAGGCAACATTTATATAAATTTAAGGGTGTAATAAAATAGCAGCTATTTTTCAATATTAAAAAACCATATTAATACATATTAAAATACAACATACATTTGGGCATGTTTCGGTCATCTTAATAATTTCCAGGAAATAGTAGTTAAAACCAAGCAGTTTTGTGAACTATAAATGTGATTAAAGGCAGCTGCAGGTGGAACTGCAAGTTTGCCAAGCATGATTTTTTTTTTTGCACATGTGCCAGTTAACAGTTTGATTATGTTGAGCTCAGACGACAATGCGCTAAATTTGGCCAGTTTTTGCCTTCTCTGCAAGGCAAAAAAACACGATATGTTGTCATGTTAAGATGATAATGAAAAGAAAACCTATTCTCACATTGATTTACTGTATGAACTTAAGAACTGGGTGTGTGGAGCCTCCAAGCCTGAACGAGCCAGCTCATAACTGTGCCTGGAGAGCCTCCAAGCCTGCTCTTGATAATTGGTGAAAGTTTTGTAAGAATTTCCCCAACAATTTATCTAATACTGACAGACAACATATAGGTCTGTACGAAGTTGGATGTTGTTGGGGTCTATCACATGGTATCAATAGAAGTTTTACTTTTACTAATTTTCCCACTTTGAGAAAGTTTCCGAGTTGCAGACATTTCTTAAAGATTTTAAGGCATGTAAGTACAAGGCTTTGAGCTTGTTTAATCTATCAAATCATAGCCTTGTGCTTTTTGGCTATTTACAGATATTATTATGGTAGCTTTTCATTGAATTAACAAAAAAACAGGACTTAACAATCCCGCGGGTGTGTGTGCGCTTGTGTATGTATGTTGGGGCTAGATCGGGCCACACACTATTTTTCCAGGGAATTGTGAAATATAGGTAAGGGGCTTAAACAAATTTAGAGAGTCAGAAGAAAATAAATAAACAGAAACTTGTATTAAATAAAAGAAAAGTTAACACACTTGATTGAAACTTATCTACTCCCCTTCCCCAAACTATCCTCGGGGTGTTGGTATTTTTGAAAAAAGCCCATTTTTGGGTTCAATGTTGGATTCATACTTGGGCTGTTACCTTACAGTGAAGAGCCTCCAACGCACCTCCACGGTTAACTTACACAAAAATTGATCATGCATGTTTGACAAGCTTGAAGTTACGCCTATAGCCACTTTTAGGCTAACTCAAAATGTAAAAGTAGGCTTTTTTTGTTGCATTTTTTTATATGATTCAAATAACTTATTTGCATGTAACTAGCTTGTTAGTTCTTTATTTTTATTATTATTGGTTTATAAATGGTTTGGTTATTATATTAATGCTATGAGTATGTCTGCATGATGAATAATTTTTTTTAAGAAGGGAAGTCTACATAACTAGTGTTTTGTCTTCACAGGCTTATTGCAAGAAACTACTTTTGCTAATCATTTTAATTGCTAAAAAATTATTTATAATCTTATATTTATAAACTTTAAAGGTGGTTTTTACCTTTTTTATGATTCTATAAAATATGTGATATTTTTATTTGGGAAAAGTTAATGAAAATGTTTTTCTCTCCACTTTACAGATAGTGTTTTTGCACCTAAAGATATAGATCTTAATGACGGTGAGATTGATGATGCCGAAAGGGAGCTAGAAGCCTTTAAAAGATTTTGTCTTCAATCAGTTCCGCCAGAAAGAAAAGCAAAAGTTCATTTGAATTTAAAAGATATTGTTTTAAAGAAAAAATCCTCTCCTGTTACATGTAATTGAAATTTACATAACTTGTTCTCTTGTTTTTAAAATATTTAATTTTATCTTTTGTACAAATTTAGCTAGTGATTATATGATTTTTGTATGTGCTTGTTTTAATAAATAAGAAATATAACAGTAGATTGTTTAATTAACCATTACAATTTTAATTGTACACTGATATTTTATGTATAAATTTCTTTAAAAGTTTTTTAGAAAAACTGTTGATTTTACTGTATCTCTCCTGTTCCTAGTACGAACTTGTTGAAGAAAACAAAATGTATCGATAAAACTCACAGACCCAAAACACATTAACAATAGAAGTTGTTTTATTTAAAAAAAGATGTCATGACTTCAATGACACCAATTCATCATCAGCATTTCAAAAATGGCAAAAAGGGAAAATTCTAAATGTTATAGGTTGAGATGAGGAGTTCTTCAGAAGGATCATTTTGTAATTTAAGTTGTATGTTTATCATCAATGAAAATTTCTTAAGATATCCACAAATGTGATACTTTTAACATGCATTTAGTTCATTAGTTGGTGTTGAACGAAAATCACCTCACATCATTTAAAATAACTGAATGGCTTTTCGTTTCCACATAAATTTTCCAATGTTCGATCCAATGCTTCCAATTATTTATTTTATTTTATTTTTTTTTTTTCGCCATTGTGCATTCATCCCATATAATTATCTTAAATTGCTGTAGTACTTTACTTATGTCTGATGTTTTCGAAATTTTGTAAGATAGTGTTTCACGGTTTTGTTTATTCAATGGCAATTTAAGATTCAAGAATCATCCAAAAGAATCGGCGCGATATATTATTTTGTGCATGTATACCATTGAAATACATTTTTATTTTTACATAACATTTTTCCTGTGCCACCTGGTGCATCCAAGAAATAAATACATTCCACCACTTTCATCATTTGTTAGATGAATCGTATTATCACATCATAAACTTGAAGTAACTTTTGCATATTTGATTGTACAAATATATTTAATTCATGTTACTGTTTTTTTCATGCTGTAATTCAGTAACAAATATGCTATTAGCTAGTTGATTAGGTGACATCATTCCTAGTTGGTACAATGCTTTATTAGTGATTACTTGTCTTTATTCAAAATGTATGCTTCATTATGTATTTATATTGTGAATTGTATGCCATGGCGGTTTAAAAATCTTATAAGAAGTTGATTCAGAATATCTTAAGGCAAAAAGTCATTATATTCTTCCCATAATTAATTTGTATTTGATGGTGAACATTTTGATAATGATTACAAATGAAGTGCACATTTATTTGGATGAGAAGAAATTGACATAAATTCAATTTTTTACCTGCTTATCTATGCACAGTTGCATATAAACAACCATCAACTGTTCTTAAATTTTGGAATGTCGGTCCACAAACATTCTCCAATAATAAAAGCAAATAAATATAATAACAAGTAACATTCTGCTGATTTGGATGAACAGTATAAAATCTTCCCAAAGTATCTGTTGAAAATACATTTTGATGACCTTCAACTTTCTTTCCCTGTTTACTATAAAACTGCAATACAATAAAACAACCGTTTCCTCCAAAAATTAGAACAGGGGACTCGAATACTCTCTGCTGTGCTCAAGCACAATTCTTATATCAGGTTGCATTCCTCCACACACTTTATATGGAGCCAAGGAATTGCACCCTTCAAGTAGGTGGGACACATCGAGCAATCTTTCTCTGCATGCCAGACTCACAGGCTTTGGCTCAAAAGTATCTGAATGTCATTCTCCCTTGGCCTATTATTAATCGGGTGAAGAAGAACCTTCTTCTATGAGTCATGTTCCGAGGTCCAGCTATTGACGCAAGAGCTTCTCAGATGACACACTCCACTGATGGTACTTTTTCTGCATGTTGATATACACAGGTCTCAAAGTGAGTGTATGTGTGTCAACTGCTTCTGGCTGATTCTAAGTCAGATGATCCTTCTGTGATTTAGACTTTAGGTGCCTGTTCACACAAGAACTTCTCTGCCAATCCAGCTTTTGCTGCTACTTTCTTTAGTCATGTTTTTTATTGCATTTTTTAGGATCGTGGTGGTTAAACCTGGAAGTTGAGACAACCTGGATATCCAGAAAACAAACACCTTAAAACTATTACTTAAAATGACAATAGATTGCAATTATGAACTAAATTAAGAAGACTACTTAATTGTATTAATAAAGAATACTTAACCACTTGTGTGACCTACTTATACCGGGTTAACAGTAATAGCTCCAACAGCTCGTCCAAGACGAGGTGAAGGCTGAAGTGATGAAAGCTGAAAAACTGGTGGTAGTGAAGAACTCTTGAGTAGAACCTGGAGAACTGACCGTTGTCTCCCAAAATTCAGAATGACCCCACATAATGAGGAAACGAGCTCCAATACAAAAATATTAACAAAAATAAACTTTTGGTCCGTCAAATCAAAGAGGCCGTGTTAAATCCTTTTGATTCGCAAAATATAACAATTCTGAAATCTGCTGGTCTACGTAGTCTATGTAGATAGTCAAAGTCGTATCGAAGCATTTTCAAAGAGGCTGCTTTAATTCTTGGTAATCCGTGGCAATATAGCAAATCTGGATTTCACCGGTCTACCCAGGTCTAGCTTATGGAAAATGGCATTGTCTAACACATTATCCACACTGTTCTTAATTTTGTTCAGGAATAGCTTTCCTACGTACCATCAACTTTTCTTTATTATTACCCGGGGCATAAAGTGTTAAGAAGTACTTTTTTTTGGGGGGGGGGGGCGCGAACCACCAAGGGTCATGTTAGCCCCGTATCTTTTAAGAGAATCCCCCTGCGGGAGGAAGATCGAGGAACCAGCACACCAGAAGGACACACCCACACATCAATGCCCCAGCATGCCCAACCCCACAACCCACCCCCAGCCACAGGGAGTCCCATGTTACACATTGCTCTTTATATTTTGTTGATTAGATTAGCTTCATTTAAAAAGTGAAACAGCTTTGTAAGTGTATCTTGATCATCCCCTAAAAGTTCAGGTAGTGTATTTGGTAAAGCGTACTTATTTCTGATACTGTCATATAGATGACATGATATAAGCAAATGTTTTACAGTCACAGACTCATTGCATAAATGACAGATCGGTGGTGGCTGACGAGCCATCAAGTATCCCTTGGTGGCTCTACAGTGCCCGATTCTCAGCCTAGTTAGGATCGCTTCTAAGAAGTACTTTTTAAAACCTAGAACAGAATAAGGGAAAGTGTAACCATACAAGTAATTGAATTACAATAGAAACTTTTAATTTTATAAAATTCAATGAAATTATACATATAAATAATAATTCTCCTTAAAAATATAAAATGAAACAAAAATAACTGTCTAAAACAAGGTTTATTATGGGATACACAATTATTATTTTTTTCTTAATATATCGGATACACTTTTTGGAAGATTTATAACAGTTAGCCCCACTTGGTCAGTTGACACAACCATCTGAAAAAAAGAAAGTGTTATACTAAGGGGGGAAAAAAGAATATTTTACATGATAAAACTTACATTCGAACAAGAAATCACAAACAGAGCAAGAGGTTTTCCTTTGGGCAAATGTATTTTGTCAATCGCTACTATTGACTGAAAACAAAACAGTGCTTAAAATAGAACATCTCTGAAAGTGTTTGTACTAAAATGATAAAAAATGTAATAACAAATAAATCTGGAAGAATAGTTAATAGGTGTTAAGACTGACCCAAATTCCAATTTATTAAAACAGTTTTAAATGACTAACAAGGGGAGGCTACAGACGTAGGATCACCTATTTATGGTTAATATATGGTTTGAATTTAGCAAAGTATTGGGTTGTCCAGAAAATAATCCAGGTTTATGGTTATAAAATAAAAAAGATTAAATAAATTATTTTAAACATTTTTTTATTAATTAAAATACTCTCCATCAATCTCAATGTACTTCTCTCAATGTGATGTCAACTTCTCTATAACCTCTGAATAGAATTTTGTGTCTTTATTGTTAACAAATTCTGTAAACACGTTGTCTAACGACCCTCGATCAATAAATTGTTGATGTTGTAAAACGTTGTCCAGGTGTCTGAAAAAATTATAGTAGGCAAGCAGAAGGTTTAAAGAAAAGGGAGGGTGAGATTAGAACCTAATAACCGAGATCCAACAGTTTTCTTGTTGTCCCCTGTGAGACATGGGGCCGAGCGATGTCGTGCAACAGAATCAGCCTTTTCTGATTAGCCAAAGATGGCTTCAATAATGCCAATATCTAGTGTATTGTTTAATTTGAGAGCAATACATTTCGGCAGGATTCAAGAAGTTAGTAAATCAGCCCAAATGAAGCCCTCCAAAGAATCTCACCATCACCTTTTTTTGGTAAGTTGGGGGGCTTTGGAAAATGTATGCTGCTTCTCCATTGTTGAATCATTGCTCCCCCAACCACACCTCCCCCTTAAAATTGTTTAAACCATCTCTGAACGGTGCTTTCACTCACAATGCCATTGCCCCTGACTTTGTTAATGTTTCTTGCTGTTTGGGCATCGTTCTGACCAAGTTTAGACTCGTAAAACGAAATTATGCTCACTTTAGTAAAGACTGAATTATTTCCAAGTAATGAAATGCTACTGAAGTAAACAAACATTTTTGTTTGGAAGAGGATCAAAAAGTGTTGACATAAGTACAAAAGAATAATCAATCAATGTAAACAGTTTATTATGAGGGGTAATTGAAAGAAAACATGAAAACCTGCATTATTTTCCAGACAGCCCAATAGGTTAAAATGATATTTGTTTTCTATGCCACGAAGTACCCTCAAATAATTTTTTTTTTTGGAAAATTCAAAACATGAAATTTTTCCTCTTAAAAATGTTTACTATTTCAGCATTAAAATTTCCCCCTGAAAAAAACAAGAGTGGTGAAAAGCAGTAAACTTTAAACGGTCATAGAACCATATAAAATACACATAATGAAACAAACTTGGCCTCTGTAAATAAATTAGAATCAGAGACACAAAATAAAATGTTTGAAGAGTTTTTGTTAATTTCATCCAGATTCTTCCACTTATAATGACAAAATCAAAATATTAATGATACAGACTGAAAGAAGAATGATCGAGCTTATTGGTATCATAGATACTGACATAAAATTTATGTCTGAGTGACATAGGAGCTGCTTAACACACAGAATCAACAAGGGCATTTATTTATTTATTAAAGGATAAAATTGAAAATCCAACTTTTGTCCGGTAAATAACATCTCAAATTATATATGTTCGTTTATACATACCTCAGAGTAGCACAATAAAATAGGCTCATACATCTTGTCACGTTCATGGCCTGCTACAAATATAACACCTTTGTAGTGTTTAAGAAAGCAAATTTCAATGTTTATATTGAACACCCCAAACTGTCCAGTCTGAAAAAAAGACCTATTGTAAAATATAGCTTTGAATGATGAACAGTTTCAATTTAATGAAACCCACAAGTGTTCTAAAAAGTAATACAGTGTATTCTTGATAGGTCAAAATTTAATGACCTGCTCAAAATTGTACCACTTATTTACAATTGGTTATCGGCAATTATAAACCTGATAATTCTCACTTGACAGAAAACCATTACGAACCCTCAACAATACAACCATGAAACTACTTCAACATAAAAAATGAAACATACTTGCAAAATGGTAAATTTGTTGAGTGTAGGATCAACCACAGATCAAAGGTTAAGAGAAAACCAGGTGCTGATCAATTAAAAGAGATTATAGTCACTTTTGCTGAGCTGTCGGATATATTTTCTCTCCTAGGCCGCGAGGAAGGGGAAAGTATATCTCTAAAAGCTCGACAAAAGTGATTATAGTCTTATTAAATTGACCAGAACCTGATTTTCTCCCAAACTTGTAAATATACAAACATAACACATCAGTACTAAAAACACTACAAATTAAAAAGAAAAAAGGAATGATGATCATAATGACTAACTGGAAATTTGTGAGACCCTTGAAGTGATGAGTGCAATGTCAACGCTCTAACCATGCAATCACTGACACTTTAACACTCACACCGCTGTCAGTAAAAAAAGAATGTGGACAGCCGTGGCGAGTCGTTTTAGACCTAACATATTTTTATTTTTTTAATACTAAAAACCTACAATATTTTTTGTTTGTTTTATAATAATGTATTTATTTAGTATGTACAGTACTCTTGTTATCAGCGTTTTGTTACTGTCCTTTCACTACCTGCAGTTGCCCCCTAGGTAAGTTGTAGAGGAGATTGACCTCAGAAGAGGATAAAACATAAAAAAATTGACAAAAAAATTCTGAGAAATCTTTTGATTAGCTCAGAAGTTGAAAGACAAAATCATAGAATATGATCCAATAGTGGAACAAAGCATCAACGTTACACAACTGTTAACTCAAGCAATACACCCTCTCCAACAAAATTTCCTGCAGTTAAAAACCCAGACAAGCAGCCTCTTATAACAATGTTCTTTGAGAAAGCTGAAACAAGAAACTTCGCTGATTCATTCCATCTACTGTGAAATTTAATTTATCTTGTTTAGGCTCTAATAATTTTTTTCTTTAGTTTCGATGTTGTGCATATGTGCATACCTTTTGATGTATGTATGTTACTGTACATTGTATTTTTCTTATTGGAAACAGTGAAATATGTGTGCATAACTTCATACAAAACATTGACAATCGGCACACATGAAACAGAAGGTGTCTGGTATGCAGATAGAAGAAAATGCTTCAAAGCTTGAAATTTGAAGCAATTCCTATTATATGTGGTGATGCTTGGTACCTATCCCACACAGATAATGACAGTCTACTACACATAGGCACCTTATAAATTAAAAAATTCATGTGGGTGTCATGGCAGGGCTTTTTATGCTCTATATTTTTTGAATTGTAAAACTACAGTAATAAGGGTTTTTTGTTTTATAATAGTTATTTAGTATGCACATAGGTGACATATAAATAAAAATTTTCATGGTGTGCCCTGGAGGGTCTTTTTAGAACCAATATTTTTTTTAAACTGAAAAAACTACAATAATTTTATATTTTATTTATAAGATTCATTTAGTATGTACATAAATGATTTATAAATAAAAAAGTTTCATGTGTGTGACGTGATGGGTCTTTTTAAAACCAATATGTATNTTATTTATTTATTTTTTGCACCCCACAAAATCACTGAATACAAATTTTTGAGAAAATCATTTTTTTTCTTATTTTTTCCCCTTCAAAAAATCTGATGAAAATCACAAAAATGGTCATAAATTTAAAACTACTGATCGACATGAAACACAACCCTATAAACTACACTTTGTTGTTAATTTTTTTTTTTTTTTTAATAAGAAACAAATTTTATACGTACATAATTTTTTTGCACCCCACAAAATCACTGAATACAAATTTTTGGTAAAATCAATTTTATTCCCCTTCAAAAGATCTGACAAAAATCACAAAAATGGTCATAAATTTAAAACTACTGATCAACATGAAACAAACCCTATATACACTTAATGGCCACAAACCTGGCCTTCCTTTAATAAATCAGAACCGGAGATATAAAATAAAATGTTTCAGGACTTTGTTGACTTGTCTCTCTTATTTTTCTCCCGTATAATGGCATTAAATCTAAAGATTCTTGATATAGGCTGAAAGCAAACATCAGCTTTTCAACGATTGTAATAATATTGAATTTGGATAAGATCCAGAGGTGTTATGAATTTTTAAGTGTAATACTTAGACAACGATGCAACCAATTATTTCCCCTTGCTATCCATCCTGAAAATTTCTATTTTTTAGTTGTAATGAAAATTCGTATTTAAGGTTTCAAAGGGTGCTTAAAACGAATCCTGTTTTTATTTATTTTTTAAAATAATTTTTGTGGCCTACTTTACTGAAAGCATCTTTTAGTCTTTGTTACACATCCAATCTCATTTAATACAACCTTCCATTCTCCCATTTTATTTTCTTGTCCTATGAAAAAAAAAAAATCTACTAATATACAATAACATTGAAATAGATGCATAATAAAGTATGTACACAGGTGACTTATAAATTTAACAAAATCATATGTTTGCTAAAATTTTATTAACAACTATTATGTTATGAATCTCCTACACAACTTACAAATTACTGTTTTTGGGATGCCACCGAATGTTTACCACATACAAATTGTTCGCATTTATCACATTTAACAAAATATTTATCTTTTTAAAAAGATAGTTCCTACTTACAGTAAGATGTTATTAACAATCCGAGCCTTCAGCTCATCATCAGTTTGAAGGAGCGCTACAACCACGTCCCTCGACATGAATTGTAAGACTAGAATTGGTTATCTTTGACATAGCAAAGACAACATCAACAAAAAACAAAAATGTTTCGTTCTTCCAATGGCCAATGACCAACAAAACTCTTTCAAAACATCATTCGCTCAAGTACAAACAGAGTTAGCATCCATTTTCACAGATAACTGACTACAAACTAAAAAATGAGAGCTCTGGGGTAAACAGGAAAAACCAGGACAATAGACAAAGAGTAAGGTATTAAAGGGATTAGGGCACAAGAAGTAGGCTATATAAAAAATAAAAAATAGATAGCACAAGTGAAAAAAATCATTCTCTTGGTCATGAAAGATGATGATGGTGCGAGTTTTAGAGTGGAAATGTTCCTGTGTTACTGAGTTTATTAAGGCTTTAAGGCAATTTATTCGATCATATTTGACATAATAAAGACAGAAATTTTGTATAATAGATGTTAGTGCAATTATAAATAAGACTACTTACCAATGAATTCAATACAAGAAGAGAGTCATCCCTGCAGCCGATAATATTCTCTGAGTTGCTAGTCAAAACAATTCCATTTAAATTATTCAATAGTTTCAAGGTCTGCAATATCGCTCCTAAAAATAATGCACAAGAATAAAATTTCATTATGTAATGTTTTAATACATAGTACAAATTACATTGACACTGTAAAACTAGTCCTTGGCAAGAAGGTCCCAGGGCCATCTCCACTCTTTGGACGGGATTATAGGGATAGATTATGTTGGAAATTGATTGGGCTAGTGGATTGAGGATGATTGGATAGTTTATCATAGAACTTCAAAAATTTGGTTAGGATTAGTTTTGAGGTCGTTGTGGAGCATTGACTATGATATTGTTAACTTTTGATTGGAAATAATTCGTTGGATGTTGGTAGGTTTAACGATGCCCACAGTTCTAGTCCATATATTCAAATAGGTTTGTAGTGTTTTGTAGAGATTCAATTGTTTTTTGACAACATGTTAGATTTGCGTCCAAGTAGTTTTTGCAGTGTAATCTGAAACATTTGTTCAGTTCCTATCTTTTTATCTGTATGTATCAGTTCCAAGTTAAACATGCGTCAAGATCCCAAGGTAGCATACGCAGACGGCTTTAGGAATAGGAATGTTGTTGAGGAATATTATAAGAGTTTTAGAGGATAAACGTAAGTGTGCATTTGTTTTCATTAATCTATATATGTTTAGTGGTCATAATTGACCATATTAATTACATCAATTAATTATTCTTTTTATCTAAAGTCTTGGTCTAAATGAAAAGATGTTTTCATTAATCTTTATTCTCTAGAATTTGCTCCATTCATCTATTTTTTGGATGTGTGCCTGGAGCTCCTCTGAAGCAATGAAGGATTGAGATCAGAGGAAAGCACAGCTATGTCATCAGCAAAGGATACAAGGAGGGAACAGGGAGTAGAATTAGTTTAGTTAGGATGTCTGAGGTGTAGAGAAGGGTGAAGGATTGGTCTGAGCTCACTGCCCTGTGGCACTTCCTGGAGTATTCTGACCCTTGGCGTGAAGTCACAGGTTCTGTGTCAACAGTTCCAAGTTAAATATGGGTACCTGAAGCTAAGTGGAGTAGTATGTCCTGGATACGATTTAAAAAATAAATAAATAATTCAGGCACCTGACAAATAGCCCCACAATGGATGCCAATACACTAGATTACCAAACAATCAAAGTTCTTACACTGGCTATGCTAAATTAGCTCTTGAAACAAATGGCCAGATCACTTCCAGGAGACGGTAGATAAATATAAAAATTCAACTATGCCAAAACAGAATTATTATAATTAAGAGTTTTTAGTTTTTGTCTACTCCAGTAGGGTAATCGTTTCACTAATGATAACTCTTAGATCGTTTTCCTTGCACAGTGGGATATTTAACTTAACATAAGCCAAATTGTCAGCATACTGGAATATGGCCACATTCATCACAATCATCCTAAGTTCCACTGCCAACCAAGAATCAACATTACAATATTTTCCAAATTAATCTCAAATAAAATTCCATGAGCTTTCAAACCCAGAATTGAATAGTGAATACACCAAATTAAGCTTAATAAATGATGCAATAAAAAAAATCTTAAAATCCTTTTGTGTATTAATTTTCAAAAGACTGAATTGCAAATTTGTAAATTCTCATTGGAATCTGAAAGTAATGTATAAAAATAATAAATTGTGAATCGTGATGAACATGTACTTTAATTTTAAGGCAAATATTAATTTAAAAATATATTTTACATGTAACAGAACCTCCATTATCCAGCCAAAATGTTGCAAGAAAGAAAACCTGTTGGATAATGATGGAAATAAAATCATCAATAGTAAATCATCTTTTCTTTGTTGTTGTTGTCCTTCTTTTTCTGTTTATAGATGATTTTTTTTCTTTCTATTGAAGGTGTTTTTAAATGAAATTATACTTTTCCGTTTGTATATTTGTCCGTATATTTATCCTGTGTCATTTACAAGAACTATTTTATTTAGCAAAACAAAAAATTTTAAATAAAATTTATATTATTTATTCTAGTAATTCGTCAAATTTATCTCTGTACACATGCCAAGTAACATTAATAAAGTATAAAGGTTTAGATGCTCGAAACATCCAGGTTGTTCCTACTTTTCATCATCAGTATCATCACAACTCTATTTTAATTCAGTTATAGTTAAATAAAATTGTTTTTAAAAAACTTCCGTTGAGTACAAGAAGTTAATTTATATTTATAATTAACCATTAATATTTACCTTAAAATTATATCAACAATTTAAAAATTAAGGAGTGTTTCAACAAAAGTTGGAAGGAAAAAAAACAAAACAAAAAACAATGGATTGCCACAAATGGCAGGCTGTTTTTAAATTAAAGTTTCAATTTTTTTCTTTCAAAAAGTTAAACAACCATGGCAAAGACAACCAGCCTTTTTGACAATTCATTATTTTTTCAACTTTTGATTTAATTTTAAGGTAAATATTATTAATAGTTAATTTTATATATATATAATACAAAAAAAAATGTTTTTTTCTTTCTTTTTAACTGGGTTCGCAACAGATATCCCCCCCCATGTAGTGTGGTGTTTTTTGGAGGGAAATTTAAAACAAAAATAAAAATCAAAAATCATTTGTGATTATGCTGAATTCACATCCAATGGCCCTGCATTCAAACCCGGGACCTTTACCTACAATGGCTAAACCATTGCGGCCACCAATGGTCCTTGTTATTATAATTATGTATTCACTAGTTTTTGTGGTCCACTTGACCAATTAATATCTTTCAATTAATTAAGGTTTTTAGTTGAGATAAAAAAGACAGTGTCATGGGCGAGATTCGAACCCATGACCTTCGGCTAGATACGCTCTCCACTTATATACTCCACCACTTGAGCTATCGTGACTTCGATCCACTCGGACACTAACTTCCCATCTCAACCCCACCTTTTGAATTTTCCCTCCTTTTTGCCATTTTCCAAATGTCGTGTAATCTATTTGATTCTCGTCAACAAATGAAATGGCCACAGAGAGCTTTAGTAAAGATATATTTCATTTTAACTTATTCAATTCACTACTTTTCGTGGTCCGCTTGACCAATTAATATCTTTCAATTAATTAAGGTTTTTAGTTGAGATAAAAATTATTATTATGATTATTATTATTATTATAATTATACTTATGTATATTAATTACTAGAATAAAGTATGTAAATTTTATTCCAAAATAATTTTAAGAAATAAAATATTTTTTGAAAATGGCACAGGATGTCGAAATGTCGGCAAACTATAACTTTATTTAAAAACACCGTCAACACAAAGGCCTTAAAAAATGAATAAATAAATAAAGATAATATAATATATCATGCTGAAAAAAAGTGAAAAGCTAGACAAAAATTTCTGCCAAGATCAGAATTGATGAGCAAACCATTCACATATTCTGAAGAGAAGACATTTTTGACTGAATCTAATTTCGAGAATTACACAGTTATTATTAATATTTCTTATTAAAAAACAATTATTACTGCATTTTTAAAATTAACCTTTATCTGACAATAGTTGGATCAATAAAAAATTATAACTAGATTCTCCAGGGTTTTCATTTATCTATGGAACCCCCACCCATCATTTTCAAGATAATGGAGGTTTTACTGTACTATATATTTATATTTATGTACTGTTACCATTTGATGCATCTCTGAGAGACACGGGTTTCCCTTCACACGCCACCACTAGTACGTGTTCATTGTAAGATTTTATTGCAATAACCATACTAGGAGATATCTGAATTGCACTGGCTATATATGTCATCGACTGAAATTTAAAAAAACAAATATATTTGTAAAATGTAAAATAAACTTGCCCATTTTTTTAACATTTTTTGTTGTTTTATTTTTACATTAAATTTTTTTGGAGATCAGGAATTTTTACCCATCATTAGATCTACAATATCTTCTAAAAAATAGTATTTTACATTTTACTAGAAAGCTTATCTCATTACTTATTCATTTATTTTTATTTATTTTTTATTTTTGTTTTAATGAGAGTTTGCAACAGCAGAGGTCATATTAACCCTCAGGGTGCCAGTGTTTTTGAAAAAACACCCATTTGTAAGTATGTATGAACCTGGGCCCTTTACCTTACAGTGATGAGCACCGTGTCAACGCCTAAACCGTTGTGGCCACCGATGCCCCCTTTTTATTATAATTTTTTTAAATTGTACTTAGATTTTTAAAAGATTAATGAGCATTTTGCATCCCAATTTAAGTTTATAAATTTATATATATACATATGCAAAATTAAATTAAATTGCAATATATATATATATTGCAATTTAATTTAAATACCCAGTTGTGTTAAAAGATAATGTATGTAAAAATAACAATAATATAATATCAAATGTATGTAGAAATGTATTATGAAAATAAGTAATAGCGCCAAAAAATTAGATTCATCAATTTTTTTTTAACATAACTGCGCATTTAATTAATTATAAAAGGTTAATCTTCTATTCTTGGCAAGTGGCTTGTCGGCAAGTAAACTTTTCTTTTTTAAATATTACTTAAATATAAATAATGTTACATTTTATATAAATAAATTTTCATAACAAATGCAAAATGGTCATAAATCTTTTTAAACAAAACTTATACAATGAAAATTGTAAATTTTAAAAAATAAGAGCTAAGCTTTATAATAAAATGTTGTAAAATACTAACATACTTTGTTATACATTTTTTGAATTGAAGATTTTTTTAAGACAATACTGTAGATGCTGATGACAGGTTTAAATTCCCAAAACATCCAAAAAAATTTAATATAAAAATAAAACAATACATTTATTTAAAAAACCACATGGAACAGTTAAAAAAAATTATAAATACAAAAGACAATAAGTCTTTAAAAAATCCATGTTACATAAATATAACAATATGATATATTGTTTGCTAAATAGTTGGAGCAATAAGCCAAATTTGGTTTAATGAAATAATAAAGGATATCAATATTGCAGTATCTATTCAAATTAATTTTTACCACTTGTTATACAAATTGGATGTGATTTATTGACAGCCTGCCGTTCCTATTTTTCTTAGTTAATATAAAGAATCTCACACAAGAATGTGATGTTATAAAATAATGAAAAATCTAGGGGCAAAGGTGATTTAGATATGCCTTTTGTTTATGAACAACAAGAAATTAAGCATACTTGTAGCACAAGAACAGTCAAAATAACAATAGATAATAGAAATGACTGTATAAATGAGATTTATTCCTAATTGCCTCTCAGATAAAGATTCAACTTTAAAATTTCAACTTGCATTTTATCTTAAAAGAAGAGGCCACGGGCTTCAATGAAACTTTCTGGTGATACTAGGTTGAAAAATATTAGACACGTGTCTGAGCATTTTTGTCAATGGGCCATAGGAGCCGAGAATTTTTTTTTAAGCAAATTTAAGTTTTGTAATTGTTTTTCATGCATTTCAAGGTTATATGTGTGTGGTGGTTAGTGACCGCTAATCGATAATTATTTAGAAATCGTGAGATGCGGTCTGGTGTGATGTAGGTTTCAGAAAAGCATTTTCTTTATCGTGCCAACGTTATATATTGTATATATTTATGTATATATATATTTTTTTTTATGGGAAAAAATTGTTTTTTGATTTTACATTTTCTGTATTCAAAGGTTTTCTGCCTTTAAGCCATAGCTTTCAAAAATTATAAAACAATTCAAACACTTTTTTCCAAAATTAATGATCCCACACCAATAACAAATAAATCTCACGTAATCTACAAAATCAATTGTTTAAACTGTCCGGCAACTTATATCCCAATATCTCGATAAGAGAGTAAAGCAGCAATATCTATGATTGCAAAAAATCCAAGCAAAATCCTACAGCACTCGCAACCCACCATTTTGAATACAAACACAATTTCGACTTCAAAAATCCAAAAATATTACACACAGAACAAAACAAACATAAACGTAACTTTTTAGAAATGGTTTACATCAACCGAGATAAATACAGCATCAATTACAGAACAGACACATGTAAACTCAGTCGCAGCTACGCCAATATCATTAATCAAATTCAATATTGATAACATACATATATCATCACATCACACAAAATGTATAATATAACATAAAATATTCATCATATTCCACACATCAAACATTTTTACATAGTCTAATTTTTCAACAATTTAGCTTTCCTTTTCTTATTTATCCCCATCTATATAATCCTGAAAGGATAATCTGGCTGAACTATTACCAACGTTTTTTCACTTCGTCGGCTCTTTTCACCTCAAAGACGCCGACTCCTTATACAAAAATGTCTTTCTATACCGACTTCCTTCCCCACCCCTTCAAAATCCAATGTATATAAACATAAAACAGCAATATCTCACTGGCACTCTCAACACGACACGCAAGAATGGCACACTTCCGCAGAAAACAAACACTGAGTGAGTAGAAATACTTTGATTGAATATACAAAATTTATTTTTTGCATTGTATAAATTCACTTTTTTTCCACATCCTACATGTATTTGTTAAATTTAAATAATGTTTGTAAATCCCAGGCCCTGAAGATGATCTCACTAAAGATCGAAACATTGGCACGGTAAAGAAATGTTTTTATGAAACCTACATCACACCAGACCGCATCTCACGAATTCTGAATAATTATCGTTTAACGGTCACTTATCACCACACACGTTATTATATACCATGTAACTTATCCATTAATTTTTTTAGACCCAGGATAAGAAAATACGCACAATTGTATTAAATGAGACTAGATATATGACAATTTATTTATTTTATTGTTTTTTTTTGGGGGGGAAACAATTCAGGTTTGTTTTAAGTACCCTTTAAAGCCGTTAAATACAAATTTTAATGGCCAACAAAAAAATATGGCATTTTTCATTTTATTGCTGATGTCCGGTGGTGGGGTTCGCTTAAAAAAACATAACCCTTCTGGATTTATCTAAATTTGACGTTGATGACTGTTAAGCTAGTCATTCTTCTTTCAGGCTATGTCAACAATGTTTTGCTTTTGTATTATTATAAGTGATAAAAATTATGATGAAATCAACAAAAACTCTTAACATTATATTTTATATCTCCGGTTCCAATTTATTTACAGAGGCCAAGTTTGTTTCATTATGTGTGGTTTATAAGGTTCTACCCCCTATAAAGTTTCCTGTGGATTGGTAGAACCAATTGAAATTTATCACCATTTTTGTGTTTATTGGGGGGAAAAAAATCTAAGGAAGAAAAGGCAACTATTTTTGAGAAAAATATCATTTTTTAATTTTCCCAAAAAATTTTATTCAGGGGTATTTTGTTATGCAGAAAACAAATATCAATTTTCTTTAATTATTTTGTGAGCCGTAGTAAAGTTTAATCTCATTTAATACAATCCTGCATAGTACTGTCTTACCAAAGGAAAGGTTAAAATTTCTTGGCTCCTTGAGCGTACTGGCAAGAATGCCTGGACATTTTTTTAATTTTTTCACTTAGAAAAACCTACCACTAAAATCCTAGTGTTAACATAACATAAATTTGATGTAAAATGATTCCAATAATTATTCTTTTTATGTAAGGTCTTGGTTGAGATGAAAAAGATAGTGTCATGAGTAGGATTCGTACCCACGATCTTTGGCTCAATACACTGTTCTAACCACTTGAGCTTCATGACTTTGATTGTATAGAGCTGAAGGTCATGGGTTCGAATCCTGCTCGTGCCACTAACTTTTTAATCTCAACCAAGACCTTAGATAAAAAGAATAATTAATTGGAATAATTACTATGGTTAATTATAACACCTAAATATATATGGATAAATTTAATTGTTTTATCATATTGTACACAAACTCATTTAAGAACAAATTGAATTAGGACAGTAATAAAAAGAAAAGTAAAACTAATTCTTACCTTTATGTTAAATTTATTCATGCGGCCTGTGGTTGTACCAACAAACAAAATTCCATCAATTTCCTCGGTACAGCTAATAGGATAACTCACAGATAAGCTTTTCAGTTTTTTTGAAACCTGAAATGTTTAGAAACTCACAAATATAAATGTACAGAAATAAATATTAAATGATTGTATACAAATAATTCAATCTCACTAAATTGTAGCACTTGAGCCAGCTGTCATGGGATGCGGTTATAATTTTATTCTGACAAACTGTAACTGATACAATGGGTTTTTCATGGGGAAAAACCATATCTACCAAATGTCCAGTTGTTGTGGAAAACAGCATTAAACAGCCGTCATAAGAGCCAGCGATCAATAATTGGTCAAAAGTCTGAAAGCACATTTATAACATCATATATATATATCATATATAATTTAAAATATTGTTTTTCTCTTAACAATTTCAAAAAAATCAAATAAAAAGTACTAACATTAGGCTTATTATTGTTATTTAAATACCTGTAAACAAGTTATTTTATTATTTTTAGCGGGCACATCGAAATACTTGGGAAACGATGAATCACTGGAGTTTTCATTTTGAGAATAGTTTCTGGTGCAGTTAACAGATTCTGCTTCAATAGGTTTAGAAGGAAGAGTTAAACTGTGAGCAATTGAACTCTCTTGTTGCAATTCTGTTCTTGGAGTGTTGAGCAAATTGCACGGTGTGTTAGAATCATCAGTGCACAATCCATTTTCGGGTGGCTCTGTTTTGACCCTTTCGATCAGAAGTTCTTGCTTAACTAACCTGAGTATATCACTCTGTTTTTGACATAAATCATTGACATTACTCATAGGAACACAATTATCAGTGGTAGAACAATTGGCACCATTTTTAATTTTAATTTCATCAGTTTCTATTTCAGTTTTAATTTTAATCGAACTGCCTATTTCCATTGGAGACTCGAGATTATTAGTATTTGGTGTTCTGTCATTGTCGTCATGATCTAAATTAATAATGTCTTCAGCAGTTGGTCTTAAAATGAGAGGATAGAGTTCCATCTTTTTTTTCATGAGGGCTTCAATTTTCTTATCAATTTCCATTAATGTACACACTTCGTTTATTCTAGGGTCGTTAAATTCAACAGATTTGTATGATGATAAATGAAGATGAGTGTCGGGTTCTTGGTTTTTTGTTTTATCTGAACATTCACCGCCCAGCTTGATGATGAGAGCTATTACTTTAAGAATATTCAATTTATTTTCGACTAATACATCTGTAAGTTTGTAAAGCGCTGAAACTAATTCTCTGATGAAAATATCTGCCACATTGTCTTCAGTAACATTTTTTTGTGAAAAAACACGTTCTAACAATTCACTCACTAAAACAAACAGAACAATACAAATTTAATTTAAATTTTTTTTATACAATTAGATTTTTTTATGATGGATTCTTACATTTGGGGTCATTCACTGAACATACATCTTGCTTATCGTCTGTTTGTGTCGAGCAACTAGATGTCGAATGCTTTTCTATAGCAGCAATCGGTACGTCTCTATGACTTGAAGCTAAATATACGTCTTGAATGTTAGGTAACACAGGTAACTCTTGGTTACTGTCATATAATACAGAAGAACATTGGTTGAAATCATTTTCATTTGACATTGGAGCATTTGATTTGTGATGAGTCATAGAGGTTCTTGGGGAATTATTATGCCAATAAGCCCTGCTACAATTAAAAGCATCCATTGCTGAAGTCAAATTGGACCGGTGGAAATCTCGGGAATGATAATCAGTTGTCGGCCTTTGGACTCCTCTCTTCCTCCCGCTATATCGTGCATTATTAAAAGAAGATTTTTTCCCCATTTTTCTGTTGGAATTGAGATGTAAACAAATCAGTTGAACTGGTGAAAATTTGGAATAATATTAAAGATGAAATTCTTTCCAGTACAGTTAGTTCTGGAAAAAACAATATTAACATTAATATACCAAATGTAAAGGTTAAACAAACAAAAATACACATTGTAGACAATAGTCTAATAGTATTGGTACTATTAGAAAGGATACAATTATTACACCACTTGCTTTTATTATTAGTTTAACATGAAATAAACAATTTTCACTTTACATTATTTAATCATTGGCATTAATTTTAGTAGTTATCAATGTAAACATATATTGTAAATAAAGTTAGGTTTCTTTGTTGAACGACACGACACGTTAATCCCTTTTTTACAAACAGTTGCATTTCCCCTCCATTCCACTACACTAAATAATGACACTAACTGAAAAAGTCGGGGCATCAATGGCCACAACTGTTAAGGGTATTGTCGCAGCACTCATCAATGTAAGGTAAAAGACCGGGGTTCATATGTATGGCTACTCGACACACTTGCATTTTTTTAAATTCATTAAAATGCATTCATTAGACAAACAAAAAAAAGTGAGATATTTGAGTGAGCACAATAGTGTTAGGGCTATAAAAGATTAGGACATTGAAATTGTATTTAAAAATGCACCATTACAAACAAAATCAATAGAAAAATCCAAAATTGCAATACTGAAAGTGTTTGTTTTTTAACTTACTCAGTTTTGCAATGTCTATTAAAAAAAGGTTTCACACTAAAGACTTGTAAAACCCTCATCACGATTGGGCGTAAAATGCACTCCATAATACAATTTATCCATAATGTAAGTTGTATTTAGATTAATAATGAACATACAACTTGCTTGTATGTAGAAAACACCAAATAACTAAGATTTTATCTCAAAATGAATCAATCTAATACTTTTGACTTGCAACATAAAATATTAAATGCACAGTTTAGGGTTTTCATCCCAACAAAAACAATCAGGCTAATTTATTCAATGGAATCGATTTTCTGTCCAATTTTCATTCCGTAACTCTTGGAAAATGCGTATGCAGTGTTGTTTTTGTTGAAATTAAAATCCTGCACGCAGGAGGGGCATAAGACCAACCCCAACTTCCACACAGTGCCCCCTGGGAAACACCTCGATGCTGCCAGCATCCCGCAGGGAAAGAACCAGCACATCGAGGCAGGCTGAAAGGGGCCATGGCGACCCTAATCCAAGTTGTAATGCAAACTGTGAAGAAGGATGAATGGCACTGGGGTGATAAAAAATAGTGTTCGGTATGAATCCAACCTGAACTGAAGTGACGGTAAACCTAGGTAAATATGCTAGTTTAACAGTCTGAATTCATAGCGATTGAACAGCACCAGGGAAATAAAGAAGCAATGGCCATCTTCTCTGAAAGTCAGGAAGGAATAAAGACCCCCTAACCTCATGTGAGGTGAAGGTGAAGAATGTTTGCATCTGCAGGCAAGGGTCCCTGGACATTCGGGGAATAGAGGCAATGAAAAAGTTGATGTGTTGGCCAAAGAGGGAGCCAATATGGATTATCTAGGTCCTGAACCCTACTGTGCCTTAGCATTGGGCCACTAAACAGGATACATCTCAAAATGGATCCTTAATGAGTCCAAAACCTGGTGGAACAAGTCCACTGGCATGAGGCATGCAAAGAGATTCATAGAAGGGCCATCTGCAAAACTCACAAAGCAATTACTGGAAGGCAACCACAACCAAACCAGGATTCTGGTTGGACTCCTGATAGGGCACTGCCACCTAAGTAAGCACATGGACCGGATAGTATTATAGACAAAAGGAAACTGCAATATTGCTAGGAAAAGGAGGAGATGGCAGAACCTCCAACCTGAATACACATATATACATATACATGAGTATATGTACATATGTTGAAAGCAACATCAATCAGTTTTTGTTCTCACACTCTAAGAAAAATTGATCAGCTTTTGATTTGCAAAACATTAAATGCTTTTTCTTATAAATGATTCTAATTTTTTAATTTTGTTTTTCTAAGCAACACTAGGCAAGTAATTTTTTTTTTTTTTTTTTAATATATCAAAGCTCCCTAGAATTCCGAGGTGTGGAGCAGGTCATGACCAACCCTTGCAAGGAGGGAATTGACCATCTGGCCTGACAGATTTTGCTTTTCCTTCCCTCCACCCAAGTTAGAAACCAACATAAAAGGGGAAGACTAGAAAATGTCTCAATCAGTCGAACAGAGTCAACCAGACAGAGGGTAGTGAAGAAACTCAGTCGAGACATATTGTAGACTGTCAAGGGCCAAGACAAGTCAAATAGAGTCGACTGTTGAAGAGTGGACTGATGCAGGATGAGTTGACTATGGAGTGTTTAGGACACAACAGAAAAGACGACATCTCAGTCAGTTGGGGACTTTGTCAATCAGCCAGAATTGCTGCCAGAGTCAGAGGACTCAGTTAGCCAGAGCAGAAAAGAGACAGCCCAAGGGGCAAGACAAATAGTTGACTGTCAAGGGTCCAGGAAGGAGCAGAAAGGAGAAACTAAGAGATGCTGAAGGATGTTTAAATTGGTGTTGGTGACTGTTGTTCAGGACAGGATCTTTTTATAAATAAAATCATCCCCAGAGTTAGAGTTGGCTGACTTGCATTGTGTGTTTGTTCTGTTCCTTTATTGTGTAAGGGCTTTGAAAGATTGAACTGAGATTATAAATTCATTATTGGATAAGTTAAGAAAAAATCAATAATAATATAATAAGAAAGAATATAAAATTTGTCATTTGTAAACTTTTCATGCAGATAACCAAAATTTACACTTATGTAAAAATTGTTCCAAGAATTCATCAATAAACAGAGCTCAGCGAACCTCCCATCAGATTGGTTTCTCGACTGAGATTTTGAAGGCGCCTTTATGGTTGTCTTATTGTTTAGAAGTTCTGTTAAATTAGTTAACTGAAGCACATATTTTCTACTTGTTAAATAACAAAAAATTCTACATTGACCCTGTAAAATAAATGTAATTTTAAAAAATAAATGAGGGGTGTACGACAACTTTTTTGGTGCAGTGTAGGTTTGGGAAAAAAATAAAAATATGTTTTTTTGTATATACAAAGCCTCAGTTATGATACGAGTCTCAAGAAGCAGAGCAGCAATGCTTACATATATGTTAACATTGAGTATAGTGCAAATGGGAGGCGATAAGCCTGAGCAGCAAGGCAAAACAAGTTATTGGTTACTTTTCACCGCTACCCCTAGACATTATTTTTTGCTTGCCACTCAGGGGGATCTCAAATGACAGAGAAGAGAAAATTGACAAACTGTGATGTTTAGATATCTCAGGTACAGAGTAGGACATTTCTTCGAAATGACATAAAAAATGTCATTACAACAAAACTGTGGGAAGAAGTTGGAAATTCAATAAACTTTATACTCTACAAAAACTTTTCTACTCCTGTTTAAGTGGTAGACACTGTACTTCCTTTTGCCTTTCGACAAAAAAAACTATGGTGGCAAATGAAGGAGATTACCGCCCAGCCGCAACTACACTATCACATCATACCCAAGGCTTAGTTTTACATTATTTGGTAACATATATTAAATATATTTTGATATGAACATAAGCCTTTTTTTTTAATCAGCCCGTTACTTATTGGGCCTAAGTTTTGCGTTTATTTGCATGACTAATATTTCTTTCTATACAGTTAAAAACTGGTGTTTTTTTTAGAAAGAGGGGGGACCAGGGGAAAAATTGTAAAACATATAAATCACAATTTAACTTTTTCCCTTTGAGAAACTTTCAGCGTTACGGCCCTGATTAAACTGTCGATTAAAGTAAGGTTGTTAATAAAATTAAAGCTATTTGACTCACCTAGACATATTTTTTAAGATTGAAATTGGTTGTAAACCTGAAAATCCGGTATTTTAATAATATACGGCAAATTACATACGATAGAAAAAGTGAGCAGCGGATTATTCAGGTTTAGATTTCCCAGCACGAGGATAACAGGCAATTAACCTCTCAAGGTCACATGTTCAAGCTAGAAACAACGGCCGACTTTATCAGTTGTAACATGTTTCACTCGGGTCTTGACGACACAGAATGCCAAAGTAAAAAACATTTAAAAATTTGAAATATAAACTCATAAAATAAGTCATTAGCTTTTGTTTTATTGTAAAATTAGCAAAAATTTCAAGCATTTGTAAATAAATGTAATCAATTCGGTTCCACTGTGTTTCCATCTTCCATGTAATTTTGTAATTTCATCCTCCCTGAACTTCTTAAACTGGGTTTCCACTGCTATTTATAATTATACAAATTTGCTGTCTCATCGTTTGCTACTTGGCGATGCTTTATGTTAAAAAGAAAAACAAACGAAGAAAACGCCGTTGGTGGATCAAAGAATTATTTCGCCAGCGAACCCCATTGGAGTTTTCATTTTCACTTTAAGAGTACCGGCAGTTTGTCCCATTTTGATTCCAATTTCCTTCTACGCATCCTCTTTCTTGTACTGATGAGTTTTACTTTTTTGCACCCCAGAAAAATCGGTAGCTGTGAACCATTCGGATAAGTCCCGGTTCATTCTCAGACTCGAGACAAGTACACTTTTGACTTTTTCTAGACGACATTCCCTTCGTCCTTGATGGTGGCGATCGCATTGGTAACGTGTCAGTCAGTATTTTAATGTATGCAGACGGTGTTGTTTTCCTTTCTACAGATCCTGTAACGCTCCAAAAAATATTGAGAAACTGGTGGCTTATTGTGACCTCTGGAATCTTTTTGTTAATTTAAATAAAACCAAATATCTAGTTTTTCGTCGGGGCGGTCGGCTTGCATCCAATGAAAAATGGTTTTTAATGGGAAACCAAGGAGACAGTATCTCAGTATAAGTATTTGGGCGTGACCTTTACTCCGAAATTATCAATGAACAAGCATCTTGAAAGGGTCTCCGTAGCTAAACGTCATTAATAGAGTTTGGTCTGGTTTCCTTTCCCAGGAACTAGTGCCTCTTCCGTTTAACTTTGGTCTCTTAAGTCTGTTTGTCTTTCTGTAGTCTGTTATGGAGCTTAGGCTTGGGGTTCTCAGCGATTTGAAGTTAATGAGAAATTTCAGCTTTTTTAAAAAAATTATTTGCTATTCCATCGGTAGCTCCAAACCATACAGTTTATCTCGAAACGGAGATCGATCTACTTGAAGTGTTAACCTTGAAGTTACACTTTCATTACTGTCAGGGTATTGAATTTACCCCTCACAGATTGCCAAGAATCTCGGCCCTAGAAATAATAAAAGCCAAAGCTTTCTGGTTTAGGAATTGGATCGATCTTGCTCAAAGATATGATTGTGAACTGACTGTGGATGACATGTCATCATGGAGTGTCCAGTTGGCCACTTTATTGGGTAAAATGAAATCTTCTCAACATGAGGAGCTTTTAGAAAAAATCTATAGTCTCGTCCCTTTTTACCGTATATCCGGAACCTTAAATTACATTCCATGGAGGAGGAAAGCTGTTCAATTGTTCTCTCTATGTAATTTCAGGGCAGTGGAAAAACATTTAATTTTGTTGTCGAATATTCATTCTGGCAGAGATTCGCAATGTACACGTTGGCCTGGCAGGCTGACCAGACCAGCACT